GAGCCTGCTCTCGGGCTGTGGTGGGACCCATGGGGGACGCCCTCGTCCCCTCTCGTGGGGCTGCCAAGGCTGGTTCCTTGAGCCTGCAACCGGCCCCAGCATGCATGTGGCTGAGGGTGAACCTCCTGTGGCTGAGGAGCCTTTATTGCAACGCTCACTCCTTTGAAGTGCTTTGAAGCTGGGGAGCTTTCTGAAGCTCTCCTCTCTGGGCCGTGTCGGGCTCTTTGCTAAGGACACCCGGCTGCCCTCAGCCAAACCTGCCTGCCAGGGCTCCGCGGCTCAGGACAGGGCTCCGGTGCCCAAGTTAAAGGTGTCTCCATGCTGCTTGCAGAGGACGGTCTCGCAGTACCAGGAGGAAGCGGAGCAGACGAGCTCTGCCCTGCGGAGAGCGGAGAGGAGCGTGGTGGAGAAGGAGGTGCAGGTGGATGAGCTGCAGAGACTGCTGGCAGGGATGGAGAAGGTACTGCCCCTGGAGCCATGGTGGGGCTGGTGGGATTAGCGCATGGTCCTGCTCTGCTGGGGGGGAGGAATGGGAAGGGCTGGTGGTGGTGATGAGTTTGGCAGTGCCAGACCTCCCCCCCTGCAGGGTACCCACCATGCAGAGGCTTTGACTTCCCAGGTTTAACCTGGCAGCGTTGGGCAAAGCCAGCGGCTGGGAACGGCTGGGAACGGGCTCTTGCTGATTTAGACTTGCATTTCTTGGGTCTAGAAGATCTGGTCGGTCTGTGCAAACTCTTCCAGGTATCCTGGAGACAAGCGCAGTCTAGACAGCCGCCGGTTCTTCTCATGGGGGCATTAGCACAACCTCCAGCCTTGATTATATTGTTAGTGTTTTATTTGAGCTGTGGTCTGCTCATAATCCTATTCAAGTCGTAAATCTAAGAGCGCAGTTTGAGCACGGAGCCATCTCGGGCTGCGTTCCCTGGCCTGACAGCAGGGAAGGAGCCGGGCTGGTGCCTTGCCTGTACCCTGGGGGGGAAGGAGTGGGGCAGCCGCTGCCGGTCACTCGGTGGCTGCACTTGTCTCATGTCAACGTAACGTGGAACGAGCGGCGGCCGAGGGACTCGCGCTGCCTTGTCCCCTGCGTGTGTCTCAGCCTCTCGCTCTGCCGCAGGAGCACAGGACCTTGCTGCTGAAGATGAAAGAAGGCGAAGCAGAGCTGGCGCGGCTGCGGAGCGTGGAGGGGGACAAGCTCGCCCAACAAGACCGGTGAGGCCTGGCCTGGGGCTCGGCTGCCAAGTGCTGCGCCGGCCCACGCCGCGGGGGTCGGGGTGTCAGCTCGCTGGGGCATGACTGCACATTCCTGCGCAGGGCGTGCTTGCTCTCTGCCTTGCAAAACAGCGCCCTGCTCCCAGCGCTGACTAATCCCCAATGCCTCCTGCAGGGCTGCTTTGCTCCCAGCGAGCCGCAGCTCCGGCCGCGGCCCAGGGGCCTCTTGCAGCCCCGCTGCGGGTTGGGAGCTCGGGGCGATGCCGGGGGAGCCTCCGGAGCAGCCGATTGTCCCTGCGCTGTCGGATGCGTTCCGCTCAGCCGGTATCCCGGTGCTCCAGGGGCTAATTGGCAGTGGCTTATTTCTGGAAGGCCTTGTTTGTGGCCTGACTCTTCCTGATGTTCCTGTGTCCCTGCAGTCTGTGGTTGCTAGTCTCCGTGGCTCCTGCTTGAATAGGTTTTGTCTCTGCCTCTCCTTACCTTGTCTAGTCAAAACACTTCCAGCCCGTAGAGGAGAGCTGGGTGGTGAAGAGCTGCTCTGGGCATAGCTGGGTGGGTGCTGCTCCTGTCCTGGGAGCCACCCGCCGGCTCCTGGACCCTTGTCCTGTCCTCCATGCAGGTCAGCGCAGCTGGAGAAGGAGGTGGCCATGCTGCGGGAGAAGATCCACCACCTGGATGACATGCTGAAGAGCCAGCAGCGCAAAGTGCGGCAGATGATCGAGCAGGTCCGAGGAGCCGGGCTGCGGGAGGATGAGGAGAGCCTGGGGGGGGGGCTTGGGAGGGAGAAAGAGTCATCATCTCTTAAGGCATTTGAAAACAAAAGGTGCCGCTTCGTGGGGCCCTTGTGCAAACCAAAGGGACTAGCACTAGGCTGGGGTAGGAGGAGTGGAACAGGAGCACCGTGCACCCTGCTGCAAGAGTTAAACCAGACCCTGTGAGCGGAGGCTCCCTCACCTGGGGCTTAATCCTCAGGCTTAATTTGATGCTTTTTTTGGACTGGTTTTTATGCATACCTTGGAGCAAATGCTGTGGGTGTTAAGAGGCAGGAGGGTGCCCTCCAAGCTGCCCTCCCTCGCAGACGGTTCTCTGGGGTTTCAGCCACTGTGACCTTGTCTGTTACAGCTCCAGAACTCCAAAACGGTGATTCAGGCCAAAGACGCCATCATCCAGGAGCTCAAGGAGCGAGTTGCTTACTTGGAGGCTGAGGTGCGTCTTAGAAGGGCTCACATCCTCTCATGGACCAGCGTTGCTTTGGCAAGCAGGACCCATTGCTGGCTCCGTGGAGGGGAGCGTGCCCTCTGCAGCCCCAGGGCTGTGCTGCTTCCCAGGCTGCTGTGATGGTTCCTGGTGCAGCCAGGGCTGATGGAGCAGCCCTGAACTCCAACCGAGGCCAGAGTAATCTCATCAAGCATCATCTGGAGGCAAAACCCCTCCTGTTTCCAAAGCTGCAGCTGAGCTTGCACATGTCAGGGATTAGGGTTGCATTGCAGCCTCTGGGATCATAACCAGTGTCAAACCTCTCTCCTTTTCTGGAGAAAAGCACTGGCACTTGTGGCATGTTCTTGCCTCAGTGACTTGGCCGATTCCTGCATGAGAACGGGGGGGGGGGGTGAGCCCAAATCCAGTGTGAGAGCTCGCATGCTGCTGGGTTTCACCCCATGCTCTCTGGGGAGCTGCCCTTACGCAGGGCTGCATTTCATTGCCCTCAAGAAAGAGCCGCCCCACTGCAAGCGCCTGTCCTGGAGCAACCGCTGCCCGGTGTGAGTGCCCGCAGCACGCCCGGCTCCAGGTCCCTGTCACTGACAGCAGCTCCATCTCTTGCAGAACCTGGAGATGCACGACCGCATCGAGCACTTGATCGAGAAGCAGGTGAGCCGGGGCGGGCACAGCTCCCGGGCGCGCTCCAAGTCCGAGTACGTGAGCAGGTACGTGGGGAGCACGTTCCCTCCAGCCCAGCCGCTCAGCAGCTTCCTCTGCAGGCCCATGTCTCATCCGGGGCTTCGTGCTCTGCTGGAAGCCCAGTTTCTCCCCACATTCCCCTGGCTGAACAACCCCTTTCTCTCTTGCAGCAAAAGGCTGACGGGCCCCAAGCCGCTGCCTCTCATTCGAGTAGTGGAAACATGAGCGTCGAGAGCCGGTGCGAGCTGACGACTCTCCCCTTGTATCGTTGACTGGATTCCCTGCTTGACTGCCGTCCTCTGTGCTCCCGGAGCGGCCCCGGAGAACTGTGGCAGCCGAGGACAGGCGCAGCCGGGGCGGCCCTGGCAGAGGAAGGAGGTTTGCGGAGCGTCCACACTGCTGTCCCCGAGGGCATCCGGGTGCTGGTTTGGAGCTGGGACCAGCCGGCCCTGGCGTGGAGAAGGTGGCTCTCGGCTGGGGATCCAGGCTGCTTTCCCTGGGCAGCCCTGGGGGTGCCGGGGTTGCACTGTGAGAGCAGCCTTTGCTTCTGAAGGGCTGTGCCAGAGCAGAGCCCCGCCTCCGTTTGGCCAGCGTGGACGTGGGGTTTAACCTGGTTTGGTTTAGAGCAAAACGAAATTCACTCTTAACAAAAGAAGAACGAAATCCTCCTGAAACCGGACTCCTTCCTACAGCAACGCCCAACGTGTGCCAAGCGGGGAGCCTCCACCTCCCATCCCGGTCTGCTCCGGACTTGGCCAAGGCTCACGTGCCAAAACCTCAGTGTATCGCCATGCTTCTGCCACGAGCGTAGAGGAAATGTACCCGGCGTGCGGTAGTGTTTGAACCCCGAGGCTCTTGGGTTCTCACCTGTATTTATTTCAATAAATTATTGGTGTCTTCCAACGCGGTGGTGACAGCACCACGGGAGCGCGGGCCAGCACCGCCTGGGCTGTGTGGGAGCTGCAGCGCACCAACCGGCTCCACGGGGTTACAGGTCCTGTGCGTGCCTGAGGAAGGCGCAGAGGAGGTAATGCAGGAAGGTGGGTGACTGTGGGTGATGGAGGGATGTGAGCAGCAGAACCATGCTGGAGGCATGGGCGTCATCGAACCATAGAATGGTTTGGGTTGGAACGGACTTTAAAATCATCCAGTTCCAACCCCCTGCCATGGGCAGGGACACCTCACACTAAACCAGGGCACCCAAGGCTCTGTCCAACCTGGCCTTGAGCACTGCCAGGGATGGAGCATTCACAACCTCCCTGGGCAACCCATTCCAGTGCCTCAGCACCCTCACAGGAAAGAATTTCCTCCTTAGATCCAATCCAAACCTCCCCTGTTTCAGTTTGAACCCGTTACCCCTTGTCCTGTCACTGCAGTCCCTAATGAAGAGTCCCTCCCCAGCATCCCTATAGGCCCCCTTCAGACACTGGAAGCTGCTATGAGGTCTCCCCGCAGCTTCTCTTCTCCAGGCTGAACAGCCCCAACTTCCTCAGCCTGTCTCCATACAGGAGGTGCTCCAGCCCCTGCTCATCCTCGTGGCCTCCTCTGGACTTGTTCCAACAGTTCCACGTCCTTTTTATGTTGAGGAGCCCAGAACTGCACACAATGCTCCAGGTGAGGTCTCACCGGGGCAGATCAGAGGGGCAGGATCCACCTCCATGACTGCTGCTCACGCTCCTTTCGGTGCAGCCCAAGGTTCGCTCGGTTTCTGGGTCCCAGCGCACTCAGGGCCGTGCCCGTCACCATGGCGGCAGCACTACAACTCCCATGAGCCCCCGCGCCGGACTACAGTTCCCAGCGTCCCCCGCGGGAGGCGGCAATGGGGCTGGTCTGAACTACACTTCCCGTCATCCCCTGCGGGCCGGGAGGGGGCGGTGCCGTACGGTGGCCGGCGCGGCGGCGGCGGTCGCGTGACGGCCCGGCCGGGCGCTGCTCGCCAAGATGGCGGACGAGGAGGGCGAAGCGCGGCCGCGCTCGGCGGCGCCGCCCCGGGACAGCGGCGGGGAGGGGGCCCCGGTGGGCCCCGGCGGTCCCCGCGTCGTCCGCATCGTCAAATCGGAGTCCGGCTACGGCTTCAACGTCCGCGGTCAAGTGAGCGAGGGCGGGCAGCTGCGGAGCATCAACGGCGAGCTGTACGCCCCGCTGCAGCATGTCAGCGCCGTGCTGGGCGGCGGGGCTGCCGACCGCGCCGGGGTGCGCAAGGGGGACCGCATCCTGGAGGTGTGAGTACGGGGGGGCCGCGCCCCCGCTGCCGCCCCCTTCGTTGAAGGGGGAAGTCGGGAGGGGGGTGCCTGAGGGGGCTGAGCCTCGCTGCGGGCTTGGAGGGGGCCGAATGGGAGCTGTAATGGGGAGCGAGGTTGGGAACGGGGGGGGGAGGTGTGAGGGGGTGTTATGGGGGGGTGTGGACTTCAGCAGGTGGTGGGGGGCTCGTTTGTTCCTCTCTCACCAGGGGCTTTTTGGGGGGGGCCCTGCGGAGGTTCTGCCCAGGCGCTTTGGGGGTCACTGGGGGGGGGGGGGGGCTTGGCGTGGTTGTTTTCCCCTGAGGGCTTAGGGAGGTCTTTATAGGGGGGCTGAGCCAGGTTCCTCTCACTGGGAGCCCTTAAGGGGTCGGAGGGACACCTCCATGTCTGGGGGGGCAATGCACTCAGGGGATCGCCTTTGCAGGGGACAGAGGGTCACAGCCCCTCTCTTGGCGGGTGAATCTGGGCTCCCTGTCACCACCTCATCCTTGGAAGAGCTTCCCCACCCCTTTGTTTGTGGGGGCATCCCCCGGGTTGCAGAGCAGGAGGAGTCGTGTCCATGGCTCTGCCTCCCTGTCAGGGAATGGGGTGGCCATGGGGGAAGTTTGCTTGGGGGGGGAGGATGCAGAGCTCCTGGGGAAAAGCTCTTCCCAGGAGAGATCCCTGCGAAGGAGGGGAAGCAGGTTTGGAGATGGGAAAGGGGGGGGGCTGGAAGGAAGGGGTTGAAGAACAAGGGAAGGGCCTGTGGCTGTCAGAACCTGGTGCTGGGCTGGGGGTGCCTTCCCAGAGAGGGGTGCGAGGGTGCAAACCCCCCCTCCGCCTGCACTGAGACCCTCCTGGGGTGGGCAAGGGACCCTGTGGGAGGTGCTGGCTGGAGCTGGTGGCCTGGCAGCAGGGATGGAAACACGCTCCGGATGGACCCGGCTGCTTGGGATTAATCCCTCTCGGTCACTGGGACCTCGGGATGTCCAGCACTGTCCTGGACAGTGGGAATTGTCATGGAAGCATCTTCCCATGGGAACGCTTTGGTTGTGTTGAAACTCGTGTTCCCCTCCGGAACCCTTCAGCTTTGTGGAGTTTATGGAGTGACACTGGTTGAATCTCTTCCGTGGCCTCAGGATGTTCCCCTTCATCCTGTGGTTCCTGGGGCTGGTTCTGCCCCTGCCGAGCTGCGGATGCCTCCTGATCCCTACGTGGTTGTACTTCATGCTGAGTTGGTTAAGTTCAATTACTTATTAATTACAGGGCTTTCATAGCAGCAGGAATGCTTTGCTGCCAGTCTTTGCAGGCTGCAGTGTGTGAAGGACAGCAGCATGTGTCTGAGCCCAGCAGCGAGGCTCTGTTCTGGCTGGGCTGTGCCTAGAGCTGCCCGTGCCCCGTCGGGGTCAGCGCCGGGATGGGGCTCTCCTGTGTGACCCAAATGCTTCACGCTTCGCTCTCTGTGTGCAGAAGAGAACCGTTCAGGGGGTGAGTTCTGCATCTGGAGGATCTGCTTGAGAGAAGAGCGGTTCTTGGCCAGGGGAGCACTTGGGATGTGCGGCAAGGAGTTCTCCCTCATGCCCGCTCTGGAAGAGCACTTGCTATGCAGGGTTTGAGCTCAGAGGTGGGGTTTGAGGCTGGTGCTGGAGTCAGGGCTTGGGTGCTGGCGTCTTGGCTGCGCCTGACCTTCAGTCTGTGGCCAAACAAAGAGGATACCTGTGGATAGTGCTGGTTAATGCTGGGCATGAGGGATGCTTGCTCTCTGCCCCCCTGGCTTCCCCCTGTGCCGCAGGGAGCCGCAGTGGCGGAAGGATGGGGGATTTCCTCTTGCTTTATCTGCCGCTTCTCATCTCCTGGGAGAAGTCGCTTTTCATTTTGCCCATTGTCTCTTGTCGGGCTGCCAGGTTGGCTCCGGCCCGTTCCCGATACCAGCCCTGCATTTGGTTAACCTGGCTGCGCGGATGGGCCTGAGGACCACCGCATGGTGCAGCCACGCTTGGGCGCGTGAAGACCCCGTGCCTGCCACGAGCACGCTCCTTCTCCCCGGCTCCAGTGAGGTCCTGCCAGTGAATCCCGGCGCCGTTGGGAGCTGGGAGCAGAAAACAATCAACCAAGAGCCAAAAATAGCCACGATTTCCCTTCCTCTCACCATGCACCCTGTGCACAATGGTGGGGGCGGCGCGGCCGCTGCTGCCCCGGCGCAGCCGTCCCCGTGCTGCTCCATCCGTGCCCGGTTCCGTGGTCCCAGGTTGCAGGTCTTAGGGCTCTTGGGGGAGCCGGTGCCTGCTCAGCGCCTCTGCAGCTCTCGGGCTGTGTCTGAGTGCTGATGGCTGCAGTTGGGTGTTCTCTGGGTTTCCAAGCGGGATCTTGGTTGCAGCTCCCAGCAGCCTGGTCTGGGAGAGAGGTTTTTTGGAGCAAGAGCCTGAGAGCTGGGATTGTTCCGTTGCAGTTCCTTGATGGAATTCCTGAGGGTGCTGCTGCAGGGCGATGGGGTGGTTGGCACATAGGGATGTGTCCATGGGATCTCTCGTCCCGCATCTCTTCCCCAGCTCGCTTTGGACGTGTGTGGTGCTGCAGGACACGGACAGCTCTGGCCGCAGTAATGGGAGCGTGGTTTTCCTCTGCACAGCCCTCTTCCCAGTCCCCATCCCACCCCAGAGGACATGCCAGATGTGGCCTGAAGGGTTTATTTAGTCCTGTGCCTACCACAAAGTCCCTTCTTGCCACCCTTCTTGCCCGTCCCTTGCGCCCAGCTCAGGCCTCTTCCCTTCACAGGCTGGTTCTGCGGTGCAGCTGTGGTGTGCCCTCTAATCTCCTTAGCTCGTAGTGTGTTTGTGGGTGTTGAGGGCATTGGAGACACACAATGAAAGCTAATTTCGTTCTTGATTATCACCCTGAATGACAATCATAACTAATCTTGACAGGGAAGAAAAGCTTCCTTGCGTTTGCCCTGTTGGGCTCAGGAGCACCGGCGCAAGAGGGATACAGGAGGGATGGGTTCAGCGTCGCTGCTCCCATCCCAGTGGCTCGGGGGCAGCCAGGGGGTTGGTCCTCATCACTTGTGGACCAGAGAAATGGCTGAAGTGGTGGCAGCACCCACTGCTTGCAGGGAAGGGCTGAACCCCTCACACGAGTCCTGGTGGAATAACTGCACTGGAGGCAGCTTCTCCCTGTCCCTCATGGGGAGCGGCTGGGAAAAGGCATTTTCCTCAAGAGATTGAACTCTTTATCTCCTCTTGGTCTAAAGTCTCATTTTATGTATTGACTTGGGACAGAAAAAGCTGATTCTGCTTTGGAAAAGCCTGGAAGGATCCATCTAATCACCAGCTGATGGGTGTCTTTCCTCTTCCCACCTCTTAACCGCACCGTCTTCCGGGTGGCATTCCCAAATTCTGCCCCCCCCCAGCTTTTCCCAGCTCTCTCTTTGCTTCCCTGCACACGTTTTTGGAGCCTTACCATGGGTCAGCATCTCCCCCCGTTACGAGCAGGGCTGCAGTTAAGGGTCTAGATGAGAATTGGGGTCTCCTGATGGCACCTCTGAGCCGGTGCTCGCTGTGCTGGAGCGAAGCACTGCGGCTCTGTCGTCTCTTTCTTGTGAGATACCAGCAGTGGGTAAATGAAGAACCCTTGTGCGCTGGGTTTTCCATTAAGCCCACAATTAGATAAAGGCAGGAGCCTTTTCATCTCCCCTGCTTTAACTTCTGCAGCGTGTTTCAATGGAATTCTGTGTGTGCTGAGGAACGGGAGCCGTGGCTGAAGCCGGAGGAGTTTAAACCCATTTCTGTGGTCTCTGCTCCTGCTTTGGTCAGCTCAAGGCAATGAAGCAAACGGGGGCCAGTGCCCATAGGAAATGCTCAGATGGCTCCTGATGGGGATGTGCTGGACATTGGTGCCTCGTGTTTTGGGGTGGCTTTTCTTGTATCCCCATTTCCCTTCCTTATCCACCAGTCTGAGGAAGCAGCGACAGATGAAGTACAAGGAGGAGAGATTCCTTTTACTGGGATTCAAACCTGTGTCTGCAGAATGCCAGCTCCAGACCGAAACATCATGGAGGAGCTTTGTGGATATCTGCACTGCAGGCCTGGGATGAGCTGGAGCCTGAGACCCTGCGGGCTCTTCCCTGGCATCTCTGGAGCAGTGGCTCATGCCAGTGGTCTGCAGCGTGGGGTCTGCAGCATCCCTGAGGGCTCGCTGGTGTTCCTCAGAGCTCTGTGGGAAACCAAAGCTCCTGTCACAGGCTGGAACTTGAATGAACTGAGCCGGGGAGAACCTGGGTCTGCAAAAGGAACAGGGAAAAGTCATTGCTTGCGTGGTGGTGGGAAGGTTACGCATCGAGTCCAGCTTCCTGCTGGCACGGGGCTTGCCCTCGCCATTGCTGGTGGTTTCAAGTGGCTCAGGGAAGGAAAACCCAAAGAGACCTTGACCTAGATCATGTCTGCTATTGCTGGTGTAGAAGCTGATTGCATTTAACTGCTTCTGAGTTTCCAGAGTGGATTTGGTACAGATTTGGCTTCTGAAGTGTCCTTTCTCAGCAGGACTAACAGCTTCCTGCCAACAGAATCAGTGCTTGGTTGCTCCTCAGTAGTATTTAGGGTTTCACCCTGGGAGCTGCTACCAAGCTTTGTCTTCTTTCAGCGGTGATCATTGATGGGGTGAGCAGCTCTCTTGCTGTTTGCCAGAGCCATGCATGTAAAACTGTACCTTAAAACGCCCCAAAAACGTTCCAAGAGGCTTCTGTGCAGATGGGGCTGGAGGATGGAGCCCTTCCTCTGGCCGAGAACCAGGAGAGGTTGCTGGAGCTACACCCGTTTCTTCCTGGGGTTCTTTAAGGTGGAATGGTACTGGGCAGGGTGTGTATACTTTGCTGTAAAGGAGGAAGGCTGCTTCCCTGCCTCTCCCATCAGAGATGGGGAGATGCTGCTGTGGCTGTGGCAGGGTTTGGGGTGAGGAAGATTTGTGCCCACAACCACCTGGCCTCGAGGCTGCCCTTGCTGCTGGGTCTCTTCCTCCTTTGCTGGTCCTGCCTTGGCTGCAGGCTGGGCTCCAACCTGTGCTTTGCCATGGTGGCCCCGGTCGCATGGGATGGCTGGAGGAGCCTGCTCAAAAGCAAAGCCTTGACCATGACTTCAGTAGTTTCTAGGGTGTTTTTCCTTTGAACCGAGCACAAAGACAGGCCATGGTCTTAATCTCCAGGAAGCTTATTGTAGGCTTTCTTGCAGTAAATTTCCTTGTCATCTCTTGACAGACAGAGAGTTGGGAGATTTTAAGAAGTCTTTGCAGAAAATGAGTCATTTGGTGCACAAATTGGAGAAGTGAACTGTTCTTCCCTGTGTCTTGGGGATGTTGCTCATTAGCGTTGGCAGGATGGGGAATTTTGCTGTGTGGAGCACGTGCTTCATCCTAGGAGTGTCCTGGTGGTTGCCAGCAGTCCCTGTCCCTGCCGAGAGCACTCCATAGGTGTCCAGGGCTTCGAGCACAGACACTGGGCGAGACGTTCCCTGCACGGCGCTGGAGGAGGCAGCAGGTCTGGGGTTGTCTTGGGAACCCATCTCAAAGATGCTTTTGACCTCGTCGCGCTGAGCAGGCTCCAGGCTCCTCTGCCCCTCAGCAGGGTCTTTTGGAGCTTCTCCTGCAGGCAGCTCATGTCCCAGCGAGGTCAAGAGGAAGCCAAGTGCCGAGGGGAGGAGGCTGCAGGGGAAGGTGATGGAACCTTGGGCTCCTGGTGTAACCATCTCCACGTTAAGTGATGGACTGCCAAGAGAAGGGATCTCGAAGCTGCTCTTCAAGTGCTGCTGAAGCCTGGCAGGCCTTGCTGGAGGCTGCGTGTGCCTGGCTGTGGTCTCCATCCTGCAGCAGTTTGCAGAGTTCTCCTCTGCTTCCTGTTCTACACAGATCCGGGTGCTGTCTGTGGGACCTTGTTCCTGGAGGGAAGGGTTGGACCCGGTCATCTGCTGCTGTTGTATCTGAACCTCCTTTCGGTGAGGTCCAGAGCGACCCAGCAGCTCAGCAGTGCTCTCCTGGGAGCGTGTGTGTCCCCTGGAAGGGTGTTGGTGATGCCTGCATCGTTTCTCCAACTCCAAATGGAGGCAGAAGCTTGAGGAGCAAAGTACCCCATTGCCCTGCTGGCTTGGGGAGGGTGATTTGGCTTTCGGATCCCACACAAGCAGCGCTCCCCTCACCTCTCCTGCTGTTCCTTGCTCCTGTGTAGATGCTTCCCGTTCCCTTTCCTTGTGGGATATGGTTCCCACTGAGTTGCTGTGGTGACCGGGGTTTGTGAATGAAGTGGCTCATGGCAGTCTTACTGTTGGGAGCCCGAGGTCTTGGCCTTGTCCCCTGCCAGGGTTTGTGTCAGTGGGTGGCCTGAGGAAGGTGCAGGAGAGGAAGAGGAGGAAGCCGGCAGCGCGCTGGCTCTTGGTCTGCTGGCAGAGGGGAAGCTGCAGGGTCTGAGGTCTTCGCTGATGGGAAGTTCCAGCTGAGGAGCTCGCTCCAGCCTGGCTGGGGCTGGGTGACTGAAACCCAGCCTTGACTTCCGCAGCCAGGGCAGCACATCCTGCAGCGTGGGTCATCCAGAGCCGGGCTGCAGCTGACAGGGCTCTGCCTGCCACTGCCTGGAGATGGGCCCGAGGCCGAGCGTGGGGCAGTGACTGCCCTCGCCTGCCTTCATCCTTCCCTCCTGAGGCAGGACTGGCCCACGGAGGTGTCCTGGCCACTGGTGGGAGCAAAGCCCTGAGGGTTTGAACTTGGTTCAGAGCCGTTTGCCTACAACTGGAGTGAACGTGCATCCCTTTCCCGCTGCACCAGAGCAGGTGTGCTGTTAGAATCATAGCATCATAGAATAGTTAGGGTTGGAAAGGACCTGAAGATCATCCAGATCCAACCCCCTGCCATGGGCAGGGACACCTCGCACTAAACCAGGGTACCCAAGGCTCTGTCCAGCCTGGCCTTGAGCGCCGCCAGGGATGGAGCATTCACAACCTCCCTGGGCAACCCATTCCAGTGCCTCAGCACCCTCACAGGGAAGAATTTCCTCCTTAGATCCAATCTAAACTTCCCCTGTTTCAGTTTGAACCCGTTACCCCTTGTCCTGTCACTGCAGTCCCTAATGAAGAGTCCCTCCCCACCATCCCTATAGGCCCCCTTCAGACACTGGAAGCTGCTCTGAGGTCTCCCCGCAGCTTCTCTTCTCCAGGCTGAACAGCCCCAACTTCCTCAGCCTGTCTCCATACAGGAGGTGCTCCAGCCCCTGCTCATCCTCGTGGCCTCCTCTGGACTTGTTCCAACAGTTCCATGGCCTTTTTATGTTGAGGACCCCAGAACTGCACACAATGCTCCAGGTGAGGTCCCACCAGAGCAGAGCAGAGGGGCAGGATCACCTCCATGACCTGCTGGTCACGCTCCTTTGGATGCAGCCCAGGACACGGTTGGTTTCTGGGCTGCGAGTGCACACTGAACCCGGCTCATGTTCGGTTTCTTATTGACCAGCACCCCCAAGTCCTTCTCAGGGCTGCTCTGAATCTCTTCTCTGCCCAACCTGTAGCTGTGCCTGCGTGCTGTATCCTGGTGGATGGGAGCGCCAGCTCCCGAAATCACTTCCTTTTGCTCTCAAAGCCTCTCTGTCTCCTTTGTCATCCTCATTCACCTGGAATCTTCAGTTCGGGTTTAGGGAGATCCCCGTTGGCTTCGAAGCTGTGGAGGGTCAGGAGGTGTTCCTGCAGTGTTTTCTTCCCCAGCTCTGTGCTCCCTTCAGCTGAGGAAGGGTCTTGCTTTCCTGCTTCCTCCACTGAGGAATGGTAACACCTGCAAAACTTGTTTTAAATAGTCAAGGGTGACTGTGAACCTGTGAGAGAAGCGCGAGCTGGGTCTGTAGGCATCAGAAGGGGAAAGCAGGGAAGTTCAGACCAGAGTGGAAGTGGAGCTGTTGAGACTGGAGGCATCCTCTCTGAGGCATCCTCAGCTCTGAGGATCTCTGGGCTGGTCCTGGCTGGTTGGAAGGCTCTGCCATCACCTCGCCCTTGCTCACGGCTTTCCTTCTTTCCCCCCTCACAGGAACGGGGTGAACGTCGAAGGAGCCACACACAAGCAAGTGGTGGACCTGATCCGCGCGGGAGAGAAGGAGTTAATCCTGACGGTGCTGTCGGTGCCTCCCCACGAGGCGGATAACCTGGATCCCAGCGACGACTCCTTGGGCCAGTCCTTCTATGACTACACGGAGAAGCAGGCCGTGCCCATCTCCATCCCCACCTACAAGCACGTGGAGCAGAACGGCGAGAAGTTTGTGGTCAGTATGAGCTCGGCTGGAGTGGCCTGGAGCTGGGAGGGACAGTCGGTGGCAGTGCTCTCTTTGCCTTCGCTTACACTGCCTGCTGGTGACATTGCCTGGTTGGGGCTTGCCTGCCCTCATTCTCAGCTGCAAAGGGATAACCGAGCCCTGAGAGGCTTTTGATTAGCCTCATCTCCCGTGAAGATTATGTAGGAAGAAGTTGTTGTTGTGTTCGTATAAGCTTTTGTATTTGTGTCTCCTGTTTTACACCAAGTGTGAGGGACATCTGTGGTAGATGTACAAGGAAAGGGAACAGATGTCCTGAAGCACAGCTTCCCATCTCCAGCACTTTTCCCTTTAGGGAATGTTGGGGGAAATGGCTGTGAAGAGTCTTTTTTCCTTTGGGTCCCCTGCCTCTTCTGCTGGGGAGGCTGGCACTTCCTGGGTAATGGGAGCTGTCAGCATGTACCTGGCACAGGTGCATCCTTGAGGCTTGAGGTTGGTTCTGCCTCATCGGGAATGGCTGTGGCTGGAGAGGGACCCAAAGCAGGTTGGGCAGAGCCCCTCATCTGCAGCACCGTGTCTTCGTGCAGCATGGTGGGGTGTCCTTAACCTCTCGGTCCGCCTGGCCTTGCTTGGCTCCTTGCTCAGCCTGGCTGTGCGGTGCCCATGTGTCGCCAGCACCAGGCGTGCAGTGAGGGACAGCAGAGCCCCAGCTGGCCCCGAGCTTCAGGCAGCGACTGGCAGAGCCAGGAGGCTGCCACAAGAGCAGCATTATCCCGCAGATAACTGCTTGTTGTTAGGAGCACAGCCCTCCCCACGGCCACCCCAGGTTTTCCCTCTGCTGGGTGGGCTCTGTCCGTCTTCTCCAGAGCCAGGGAGCTGCGCGTCCCTCAGCGGGGTGGGCAGGGAGGAGAAGGGACTGGGAACAGGGCAGCGAGCGGGCAGCTCCTCTCCTCCTGCAGGTGTACAACGTTTACATGGCGGGCCGGCAGCTCTGCTCCAAGCGGTACCGGGAATTCGCCATCCTGCACCAGAACCTGAAACGGGAATTCGCCAACTTCACCTTCCCGCGCCTGCCGGGGAAGTGGCCCTTCTCCCTGTCGGAGCAGCAGCTGGATGCGCGGCGGCGAGGGCTGGAGGAGTACCTGGAGAAAGGTAGGAACCCTCAGGGGGATCTGCCATGGGGGTCCCGGACCCTTCTTCACCCGGGAGGGAAAGAAGCTCCTTTGTAGCTGGATTGGATTCCATGGATGAAGTGTTACCCTACCCTGAAGTGTAGCTGCGGGGTAACAGGACCTGTGCAGTGCCCTCCACCAGCACACAGCGTTCTGTTCTGAGGTTTCTGGGGCTGGAGATACCAGCCTTGCGTCACACTGTTGTTGTTTCCACGTCACCTTTGGGTCAGTGCTGGCAGGGGAAGGTCCCCCATCCCCGTGGCTCCCCACTGACCTGTGCTCTCTGTCTTGCAGTGTGTTCCATACGTGTCATTGGGGAGAGCGACATCATGCAGGAGTTCCTGTCGGAGTCGGACGAGGTAGGGATGGAGGCACCAAAGCTCTGCCTTCACCTTCTCTGTTGCAGAGGCTGAGAGCGCTTGGGGAAGCTGGATAGAGGCAGCCCCATGGCCTTTGTGCGTGTCCTGGCTTTTGCCAGGGGAGACCCTGCAAAACCAACCTGCATTTGGTGACTTCCCTGCTGGTCTCCTGCTGATGGCAGCCCAGGGAGCTTCACATTCAGGAGCTGTTGGCATTCATCAGCCTTTGTCCAGAAGCAGCAGGCACTCTGAGCACAGCTTGTGTGACTTGCAGGAGGCAGCAGTGAGTTGCTGTTTGCCCTTCAGCTCTTGTTCTCTTTCCATCCTTTCTGGGGTGCATGGAGCTGCCATGTCCCCTGCATGGAAAACTCGAGCCCATCATGGTCTGGAGCAGTTTGCTCAGCTTCCCGATCGGAGCAGAGCTCACCTCTTCCTTCTGTCACAATTCCTCTGGTGCAGGCTGCAATGGGATTCCAGCAGAGCAGCTGGGGGTTGGATTTTAATGAGCCGACGTGAGGCAGTCAATGGTCTACAGAGCTCAGGGGGGGTGATGCTGGTTTCTCCCTCCCTCAGAACTACAACGGTGTCTCGGATGTGGAGCTCCGGGTGGCGTTACCAGACATCACAGCCGTGACAGTACGAGTCAAGAAGAACAGCACGACAGACCAGGTGTACCAGGTGAGCCCCTTGTGTTGATCTCCCAATGAAGGCAAACAACTCAGACATTAACTGGGCACCTGCCTGCTTCTCTCTGTTCCTCTCCAGTGCCACTGGGCACAAGTGATGCTGCTTTGCTGTACAGGGAGGATGGGGATGGTGGAAAACTCTCACCTTAGGCCGTGCTGAAGCAGTGTTTCCACTGGCAGCTCAGCTGCAAGGACAGAGCCAGCACTGAGTTAGTTTTCACTGATAGGATCTCAGAGCTGGTGGGTGGCTCTGAGCACTGCTGGAGTGTGTCAGCAACACATGGGTCTCTGTGGCAGGACAGCAAGTTGGAGGTTAAGGGCAGTGCCACGTTATGGGTTTGCAAGCAGCTGGAGCCCAGTACTTTAAGTGGAAGACGAAGGAGAACTGACTTCAGTCAGCACTGCACTAATGCCTTGGGTTGGGGAATACTTGGGAATAACGTGTATGAAGCTGACTTTGCCCTGGAGCAGGCTCCTCTTTTGCTCACCCCGTTTTCCTGCCCCTTTGCCCTGCAGGCTGTGGCTGCCAAGGTTGGGATGGACAGTATTACTGCAAACTACTTTGCCTTGTTTGAAGTGATCAATCACTCCTTCGGTGAGTCTTCTAATCCCTGCGGTGCTGACGAGCCACTGAGGAGAAAGCTCTGCAGTGCCAGCACTCTGTTAGGTCTTACCTCTACTCACACAACCAGGAGTCCTGATCTCAGCTGCTCATCTCTCCTTCCGTGCTTAAATCCTGATGGTATTTGAGGCTTGGCTGTGGGATTCCAGGCGATCGTTTTGGCACTGAAGTAATTGCCATCCCTCAGCCCAGCACACGCTGGGGTCTTCTGGCTGCTGTTCAGATTCCTGGCCACAGCAGCCTCTGGTTTCACCCACTTGCATTCACTGAAGCTGTAGAGAGGCCAAGACGTCGCGGTCACACCACAGAATGGGTGTAGTGGTTGGTTTGTGTCTAATTCTTTTTCCCCTGTGCTGGGTTTTAAGCCAAGTGCGTTTCTCATTCCCAGCTGGGTAACTTCACTTCTGGCTTGTCATCTCTGTGTGCCTCAAACTCATCCTGTTGTTACAGCAAACTGTGCCTTGTAGGAAGAGATTTCTGGGGCTGTTCCTCACGCTCACAAGGTTCTGGCTGAAGAGCCAGGGCAATTTTTAGCTCCTTAAAGCCCTCCTCAACTGACTCATCCTGCAGAGCAGGCTGGGTTTGCATGCAGAGGCTGACCCCAGGGCAGCCGAGCTCACCAGCCTCCTGCAAAGCCATTGGCATCACAGAGCTGCCACCGGGTCTGCGTCACTCGGTGAGGGTCACGGGGTGCTGGTGTGTCAGAGCAGGGCACGTCATGGGGAGAGAAGTCCAGGGCTGAAGGCTCAACATGCTTTGGGTTTTGTTGTGGAGGCCACACAGGGCTGTTGGGGAGCCTGAAGTTGGAATACCTGGCACAGTCCCTGAGGAAGCTTTTACAGTGCCAGCCTCCAACTGGAGTTATGAATTGCTCATTCCTGCAAGGGGGAACTCAGGTTCACCCTTATGGCTTGTGCTTTGTGGACACTTGCTGTGAACATCCACGTTTATTCCTGTCTGGCTGCACTCACAGGAAACCATAAGCTCCATCTGCAGTAAGATAGTGGCCATGTCCCTGCCTGGTGAAGGTGGTGCACGGGCACTCATCTCTTGTCCATCACAGTTGGGTAATGCAGGTTTGAACACAGTCAGTGTTCGAACAGGGCCTGCAGCTTGGCTCAGCAATGCAGCAGGGTTTGTCCAGGGTGGGACCTTCTCCAGTCCCTCATACTGCAAGGGTGCATAGGTCCAGGGCCACTGTGATGCTCAGCCTTAAGGCAGGACCTCCCTGTGCACCGCAGGGATGGAGCTGGGCTGTTGTGCTGATGCTCCAGAGCCGCACTGCAATCTCAGCAGGCAGAGGAGCTCAGCCTCACGCAACAGAGGCGACTGCAGGGGACCGGTGGGGCTCAGAGTCTGCTGCTGTGGAAGTGGGCGTTGGGGCAAAGCTGGGTTTGATGAGGGCAGGGAAGAAAGAGCCTTGGGGCAGAGCTGGCTCCCGCTCCCGTCTGGCTGCAGCCGCAGCCGGTGATGCCGGCAGCGCACTTAACCTGTCCTGTGCTTTTTCCAGTGCGCAAACTGGCGCCCAACGAATTCCCCCACAAACTCTACGTGCAGAACTACACCTCGGCTGTGCCGGGGACGTGCCTGACCATCCGGAAATGGCTCTTCACTACAGAGGAGGAGGTTCTCCTCAACGACAACGACCTGGCCGTCACCTACTTCTTCCATCAGGTGAGGAGCTCTCCTTAAGATCGTAGGAATATTTAGGTTGGAAAACACCCTTAAGGTCATCGAGTCCACCCAGTAACACAACGCTGCCAAGTCCACTGTTTTTTAACTGGAGTTAAGGCACCACGAGTGCCCAACTCTCAGGACTACTCCAGGCACCACTGTCCTTTGGTGTGCTGGGCACAGAGTGTGACATGGAGAGCCAGGCCTGCTAGGGAGTAGAAGTCCATGGTTGGGTGACTTGGCAGTGCTGTGGTGAGCTTGTGGCCATGCCAGAGCTACATGGGAGGCAGGACTCTGCTGCTCTCACTGGGAGAAGTCGCCTTCCCAGAGCTAAAGGATTCAGTAAGATGAACCCTGCTCTGTCTCCGCCACCAAACCCGTTGTCCCAGCGCTGTCTGAGCTGAGCCTGTACCAGCCCCTGGTACAAAGTGAAATAAAAATAGAAGCTGTCAAATTCTTGGATCTCCTAGGCTGGCTCTTGGCTGGCTGGCAGCTGTACAGGCTGCTTTGTGCCAGGGGCAGGAGCCCTTGCTGGGGTGTGCAGCTGAGGAGCGAAGGGAAGTGGCTGTGTACCTGCTCCAGCCTGAAGGAAAAGCCCATTTTGCATGCCAAGGCTCCAGCAGCACAGTGGGGAGAAGCCAGCTCTGCTCTGCTGGAGCCAGCTGGAGTGGCAGGGTTGTACCAGCCTATCCTTGCCTATGCCTGAAGGCAGACCCAGGATTCCAGGTACCACCGTTTCCAGACCCATCCTCTGGTGCCAGGGGACATTCTTCCGAAGCCTGCCCAGATGCTTAAGCATCTCTGTGCTCCTCAGGGCAGGCAGAGGCTCATGGCAGGAGTCAGTGATGCAAAGAACCACCTCTGTGAGCCTCTCCATCCCTCTGCCTCTCCAGGGACATTGGTCACCTTCTGGGGCTGTGGATTTGGGTTCAGAGCAGCCTCCGGGCCAGCCAGGGAAAGCAAAGCGGTGTGACTCAGGAGCCTGACCTCCGGGGTTTCCTTTCCCTTGTTCTGGTTAGGCTGTTGATGATGTCAAGAGAGGCTACATCAAAGCAGAGAAGTCCTACCAGTTACAGAAGCTGTGTGAGCAGAGAAAGATGGTCCTGGTGAGTTGTCCTACCTGTCCTGTTTGCTTTCCTTCCTGCTGGCCATGCTGTGTCTGGAATGGAGGCGCTGGCACAGGGTGCCCCGAGAAGCTGTGGCTGCCCCATCCCTGGCAGTGTTCAAGGCCACATTGGATGGGGCTTGGAGCAAGCTGCTCCAGTGGAAGGTGTCCTTGCCCATGGCAGGGGTTGGGGCTGGAGGAGCTTCAAGGTCCATTCCCACCCATGCTATGCACACAGCCTTTCCTGGAAAGCAGGAGCTGGGAGAGCCGGGGGTGTGGGCCCAGCACAGGAGGTGCTGGCAGCGAGCACAGCTGGGAATGCCAGGAGAGGGCTGGGACCTGCCCGAGGGTCGGTGGCTGCATGAACCAAACCCACCCCTTGTGGCTGGCACGTTTGAGCAGCAGCTTGTCCTTGGCAAGATCCCCCATTGACTCGGCTCCAAAAGAGGCAGCGAGAAAACCTCGTGGGTTGTCTGTCGAAGGACGAGGTGCTGAGCACGCTGTGGCAATCCTTCACCCTGCAGGGACTGCAGTTGAGAGCTAAAGGTCTCTTTCTGCATCAGACTGGCTCCGAGGTGCCGGGTGGCAATGGGTGCCAGCCCACTTTGGGCACAAGTTGCTGCCCCTTTGGTGCTTTAGTTTCTTTATTCTTTGCGTGGCAGAATTCCTCCCAGGTGGCAAACCCTGTGTCAGAGCTCAGCGACTGGTCGGGGGGGGTTCTGCCTCTTAGCACTGCCCAGCAAAGCCCACGGGGGCTGTGGGGAGCCTGCCTGGCTTGGGCTGCCCTGAGCTCCTCTGCCAGGCAGGCTTGGCTCCGAGATCAAACAGCCCAAGAATCTGCCTTGTAAATAACTTCCTGGGTTGCTCAGGGCTGCTGCTACCAAATGAACTTTCCCTGACTCGCTGCACCCGCCTGTGCTCTCCGAGAGGGATCCCCTGCCCCAGCCTGGCTGCTCTTGGGTTGAATCCTTCCTCAGAGCCCGTCCCTGCTGGGAGCCTGGCCTGGGGTGGGCCCTGGAAGGGGTCACCTGCAATGCTGAGCCCAGACAATGAATTATTAACTAACGAGAAGGATCAGTAAAGAGATGCTTCTTCCTGTGGCTTGTCTCGTGGCTCTTTGGTCTCTGCTCATCCCAGTAGCTTTCTCATGACCAAAGATGGATGTGAATCTTTGGAATGGGTTTGTCCCATCATACACACACACACACACCCCCCTCTTCCCATGGAGGGGATGCATCCTCCCTGGGCTGGGGCAAAGCCAGGGATTCCCGAGGTGAGGATCAAGGAGGGTGCAGGGCTCGGGCTCTACCACCTGCTCTTTCCCTCTGCAGTATTTAAACATGTTAAGGACGTGTGAGGGCTACAACGAGATCATCTTCCCCCACTGCTCCTGTGACTCCCGGCGGAAGGGCCACGTCATCACAGCCATCAGCATCAAGCACTTTAAACTCCACGCCTGCACCGAGGAGGGGCAGCTGGAGGTGAGGGTTTGCTGCCACCAGCACCGTGTCCCCGGGGCTCTGGTGCTGAGCAGCCTCCGGAGGGGTCCTGGCAGTGGGTCTGAGAGCAGGGGTTGGTTTGGCTGCTCTCTGGGTGCCAGCAGGCGCTCCCACAGCTGCTCCCTCAGCTCCTGCAAGGCTGCACGGGGCAGCCACTGCCCCATCTGCCCTACACCTCCCCTTCCCCAGAGGGCTCTGGCCTCACCTGGCTTCATCTTCCTCCAGAACCAGGTAATAGCATTCGAATGGGACGAGATGCAGCGGTGGGACACGGACGAGGAGGGAATGGCCTTTTGCTTTGAGTACGCACGAGGAGAGAAGAAACCCCGATGGGTTAAAATCTTCACCCCCTATGTGAGTACCCCTGTGCTTTGCAGAGCTGAAGCCCAGAGCCTGCTTGTTTCTCCCCTCACCCCGCGTTGGAAGCCGTAGGAGCTCCTGTGCTCCAGCCCTGGGGCCGGTGGCCACCAGGAGGAGCCCGTAGCCGCTCCCGCTCTGAGCTGTTCCCGTTTTCCCTTTGCAGTTCAACTACATGCACGAGTGCTTCGAACGGGTTTTCTGCGAGCTGAAGTGGAGGAAGGAGGTAAGAACCCGTCACTGCAAGGGAACGGCTTCACCTTTTACAGGAGGCTTTTTGATGCAAGCGTTTCTGTCCGGTCCTTACCAGTGCTTTCCAGGGAGCTTGGAGCAGTGCTCCGGGTCTCGGGGGTACCTGGCTGCTCTCAAAGGCCAGGGCTCTGTAGGTGGAGGGTGCTTCCCGGTGCTGGGAGCCTCATGGAGCTGTGATTGCCCAGGGTGGCAGCTCCCAGGCTCTGGCTCCTGAGCATCCATGGCAAAACCTCTCCTCCAGAGGGACTCTGCAGGTTGCTGAATTATTCAGGAAGGGTTGTGAGAGCCTCCAGCACAAAGCTGCTGGGAGGAGCAGCGAGGATCCCAATCCCAGCCTGAGGTGCCTTGCTCAGCCTCCTCCCATCAAACCTGCTCCCAGAACCCACCCACTTCCAGCCTCTGCTCTCTTGTTGGCCTCCCACCCCTGTTCTTGTTGCCAGCACCGGCTGCCCCGTCTCCTCCCGGTGTGTCCCCCCCAGCTCTGCTTTTTCATTTATCCCCGTTTTATTTCTCCCTGTCAAGGTGGAGGAGGAGGCAGCAGACAAGGATAACAGGAACTGCAGTAAAGACAATATGTGCAGCAAGGTAATTGGGCTGAAAGCAAACAGCACCTCTGCTCTCTGAGCCAGTCTGGCCGCTCTCTGCAGATGTAGTGATCCTCTTCTCTGCCCCAGCTCCTCTTAGTGTAGATGTGGACAGGACCCAGCTCCTCTTAGTGTCCTCCCATAGGGGCTCCTCCTTGGAGGGGACCCGCAGGTGCTGCTTGTCATGGCAGGGACATGGCTCTGAGCTTACAGACCTCTTTCCTGACCGGCTCGCATCTCTCCCATCTGCTGGGCTCTGCCCACCTTTGGGTGCCCAGCACCAGGCTGCAGTGGATGGTGGAGGGGAGGGAAGGGACAAATACTTTGGCTCTGTGCTTCTGTTCAAGGACCAGGGCCTCGATCCTGGTGGCTCTGGCTTTGTTCTTGTTCCCCAGCCATGGGGCAAGGATCTTCAGGGGCTTGGCAGACACCAGCCTCTTGTCCTGCAGCTCGCACACGTCGTGGTGCCCTGGGGCTCCCAGCCCCTCCAGGGGCTGCCCAAGTGCCCTGCTCCAGCTTCAGGTTGAACTTGGGCCCATGGCTGGAGGGGCTGTGGTGGCCCCCAGAGCAGAAAGCTGCAGGCACTGTGGCTGCCATGGGGTGAGCCCCACATCCCTGCTCGGGGAAGAGGGGGGGGGGGGAAGCCTTTGTGTGCAGCCCTGCCCCTGCTCTGTGTCACCCTGCACGCTGCACGGGTTTGGTGTCACCTCTACAGAGCCTGGGGATGCTGAGAGGGGTTCACTGCAGGAGCAGGGAGCTCTTACAGAGCGCTGCTGCTCCCCAGTGTCCTCTGGGTGAGCCTTGGGGCTGGGGCTCTGCTGCTCCCCACCATGCCCTAGGAAGGGGGATCTGGAGCAGGAAACCAGGGGAATTGCTTTTCCTTCCCCTGAACGCAGTTGTTCCTCCCTCCTCCGCCATCCCATCGCTTCCCCGACAAGGAAATAGATTTCTTTCTCCCGTTCAGTTTACACACATCCGAGAGCTTCCTCTCGCTGCAGCTCCTGGAGGTGGCCCCTGGCTCTGCTCTGGGTCACCAACACAGCTTCCACCCCCCAGACCTGCCCTGGGGGCACGGTGAGGCCCCCCCCAGTGCTGTTTCCAGCCGCTCTTCCCAGGTTCTTTCCAGGTCAGGGCTATTTCTGCCCTGTCACTTGGTCATTTCCTCTCCCCAGCGTAAAATAAAGAGACTGATGGACTCTGGCAGCTGCGTTTCAGGTCTGTTTAGTGCTCTGTGAGCCGCTGCCTCACCTCCCAAGCCGCAGATGCTGCTCATAGCGATGGCTGAGAAAGAACCCCCGGCTCAGGGGGGGATCCTCGTGGTCCCCTTGGGGCTGGCGCTGGCTTCCTGCAGGGAACAGGCTCTGGTTGGGGATGCTGGTGAAGCTGTGCCATGGAGGTGGGGGGGGGGGGGGGGGGGGGCAGGCAGCAGTGCCCCCCGGCCCGGCTCCGTCCTCCTTTTGCTTGGCTCTTGCGAGTGGAATCTGGGTTATTCTCCGGAGGGGGGATGCTCGTGGAGCCGGGAGGGAATGGGGCTTGCTGGGGGGATCCAGCTGATTCCCAGCGCGGCTCCTGGCCTCCTTCCTGGCCTCCTTTAGGCTCAGGCTGAGCCACTTTCCTGTGGGGCAGCCTTTGGAGGAGCTGGGATCTGCTGCTGGATCCCCCTGACCCCCCCAGCTCCGGGGCTTCCCAAGAGGAAGGGCAGTGGAATCATCCCAGCTTGGCTTTGGTGGAGGGGGGGCTCCCCTGGACCCCCCTTCCCAACCCCTGCCCCTCGGTCAGTGCCACAGCAAATCCCCATTGAGGAATGAGCATCTACATCCCCTCTGCTCCTCTTAGACCTGCCTTGTCCCAGTGGAGCCCTGGGAGCCCTGGGCACAGGGAAGAGCAGATCCTCTCCCCTCCTGCCCCCCAGTGATGGGCTGGGAGCTCAGGATGAGGCAGTGGGGAATTAGAGCTCGGGATGCACTGGGTGAGCATCACATCAGTGCTGGGGCCATGCAGAGCCGTGCCCCCCCCCCCCCCCGAACACCCCCATTGCATTGGGTGCCCCCATCCCGTTTTCCCCACACTCCTTAATGTCCTTCTCCTTTTCCTTCTCTTTCAGAACATCTTTCAGATGGTCAGGTCACAGCAGAGGGACGCGGCCACTTAGCCCCCGTCCCGTTCCCCCCCCCGGCCAGGATGAACGCAGCCCCCCCCCCCCCCCCCTTAACACTTAAAATTCTGTTATTGTATTAAAGCCCTTAAACTAAATATTATTAATAATAATTCCATTTGTGAACTTCATGTTTATGGCATTAAGCAACTGGGATAACCGGCAGGACGGACCGAGGAAGGAGGGACGGCGTGGATGGCAGCGGAGCCGCCGCAGGGTTGTGGACAATGCATTGGGCTGCAGCTGGAAGCATGGACACGAGTGGGAAACCCCCCCCCCTTCCCCTCCCCAGGGATCAGGACAAACCCTGCATGGACCCAGGTCTTTGCCGTGCTCCCTGCGATGGCTGCACCTCTCGAAGGTGTCCTCACACGCAGCCCGGTGTGGGGCCTGAGCATTGACTCCAAAGGAGAATTAAAGGAGGAAAAAGAGAAGGAAAAGAAGCAAAACAGGAGGAATGTTGCAGGGAGCCCCTCTCTGGGACCCAAGGACCTCTCCACCGCCTCAAGCTCCTCATTTGCTGATTTTCCCTGTGTTTTGGTTGGCTCTGGGTGTTCTCACACGGACTGAGGGAGCACGGCGGCGTTCCTGGGATGGGCTCCTGAGGCCGGGGCCGGGTGATGGGCTCAGGCTCCTCCATGTGCCGGTGGCTGAGGAAGGGGAATGAGGTTGGACAGTGGCTTTCCTACTTCTTGTGCAGGATTGGGGCTGGGGTCCTGAGGAGCATCCCGGGGTTGGGGGCAGGAGCTGGTCCTGCAAGAAGGAAATATGGCCATGGGGCAGCGGGGCCGGTGAGCATCAGCACCATCACTGCCATCATCCCGCTGGGCAGTGGGGCCGGTGAGCACCAGCATCAGCACCATCATTGCCATCATCCCGCTGGGCAGTGGGGCCGGTGAGCACCAGCATCAGCACTGTCATTGCCATCATCCTGCTGGGCACGAGGCCTGGTGAGCACTGGCATCGGCACCATCATTGCCATCATCCCGCTGGGTACCAGGGCTGGTGAGCACCAGCATCAGCACCATCACTGCCATCATTCCGCTGGGCACCAGGCTGGTGAGCACCAGCATCAGCACCGTCACTGCCATCATCCTGCTGGGCACCAGGGCTGGTGAGCACCAACGCCAGCACCATCACTGCCGTCATCATTCACCGGGCACCAGGGCCGGTGAGCACCAGCATCAGCACCGTCACTGCCATCATCCCGCTGGGCACCAGGGCTGCTGAGCACCAGCATCAGCACCATTGTTGCCATCATCCCGCTGGGTACCAGGCAGAGGCTGAGGTTCATCTGCCCCTCACTGGGATGGGAGAAGCTGGATGCAGCCACCAGCGGGGCCTTCAGCTGCGTGACCCCGGCCCCGCTCCCCGCCTTGATCCCATCCCATCACCATGCTGCCGCTATTCCCAACCTCCCTGTGGGTCCTGGTCACTGTGGGGCTGGGGGGGATCCTCCCCATTCCTCAGCTCTTGGACACCTGCAGCAAGGAGCAGGGATTCCTCAACCAGCTCCAAGTGTAACCGGATTTGCCTTGGGAGCCCTTTGGGACCCCAAAGCCCCCACGCCGGGGCCCATCAGTGCCACGACAGCATCGGGTCTCAGCAATAACCCCACTCATGACTGTGTCCGAGTCGGAGCCGGTTCCGTGTGTGTCCCCCCCCACTCCCCGGGCCTGATCCCGCTGCCATCCACATCCTCTTTAATTTATTTGCAGCCGCCTTGTGTCTTTTCTATTCGTGAGTCAGAAAGTGAAGGAAATGACCCCAAAACGTGCGAAACCAAGAAGAAAACAGCAAAATAACCCCCCCTTTGCCCCCTCCCCTTTGCCCCCTCCCCCCCCCGCGGGGCTTTGCTGAACTCACTCAGTGTAATTAATTGTAACATATTCTTTTAAATAAATTGATTTATTGATGAAGCCACCGGGCCCTGCGGCCGCGGGGGGGGGTGGGGGGTGTGGGGGTGATGGGGGGGGGGGGGGGTCAGAGGCGCCTTTGAGCGTATTTTGGTTTTTTTTTTGAACTTCTTTTATTTCGACAGAAAAAAAAAAAACAAAAGAAAAAAAAGGAAAAAATAAAAGAGAAAAAAATTGAAATGATCCAAAGGAACCGCAATAAATAGCAAATAAATTAAAGCGGCGGCGGGCTCGGCCGCAGACGTCACCTCCCGGGGGTCCCGTCCCCACCCCCCCCCCCCCCCAACAGCCCCCCCCACCCTCCCCCGACCCACCCCCATCCCAACTCAGCAGGTACCAAACCCCCCAAAAGGGGGGGGAAGAGACAGAGGCCCCCGCGCCCCCCAACCCCTTATTTACAGCGGGGAGCAGCAGGTGTAAACGTGGGGCTGGGGGGGGGGGGGGGGGGGGCACCGCCCCGGCTGGGAGCTGCTGGGGGCTGGACGGTGCCGGATGCGGCCCCGTTTTGGCTGGTGGGTGCCTGGCGCACCCCGGGTTTGGCCGCTGTGGGTCCGGGCAGAGCCAGAGGCCTCGAGTTTCATTCCCCCCCCCCCCCCACGCTGTGTCCATGCAGTGGCCTCCGGCTGCTCCGTGCTCCCGGTGTTTGGCTGGTCCATGCCCGGCTCTGGCCGCTTCATGTTCATAGAGCACCAGCACGGCGACAGCTCAGCCTCATAGCGGAGCCTCCCAGTGCCGGAGCCTCCCAGTGTCGGAGCCTCTTGGTGCTGGAGCCTCCCAGTGTCGGAGCATCCCCAGTGCTGGCACGTCCCAGTACCAGAGCATCCCAGTGGCCAGAGCATCCTGGTACCAGAACATCCCAGTGCCAGAGCGTCCCTGTACCAGAGCATCCCAGTGCCAGCGCATCCCGGTACCAGAGCATCCAGTATCGGAGCATTTTGGTACCAGAGCATCCCAGGTTTGACGCATCACAGCACCAGAGTATCCACTGCCAGCGCATTCCTGTACCAGAGCATCCCAGTTTCGACACATCACAGTACAAGAGCATCCCAGTGCCAGCGCATCCCCGTACCGGAGCATCCCAGTTCGGAGCATCCCAGTGCCGGAGCATCCCAGTGCTGGAGCATCCCAGTGCTGGGGCATCCCAGTACTGGAGCATCCCAGTGCCGGAGCATCCCAGTACTGGATCATCCCAGTGCCAGAGCATCCCAGTGCTGGAGCATCCCAGCGCTGGAGCATCCCAGTACCAGAGCACCTCAGTGCCGGAGCATCCCAGTACCAGAGCACCCCAGTGCCGGAGCATCCCAGATTTGGCTGCTCTGTGTCTGTGCAGCACCCAGCACCCTGCAGCTGTGGCCGTGCCCATGGGTGAGTTTGGGGGGGGGGGGGGGAACTGAGGCAGGTTTGGGGGTGTTGAGGGGTGAAGCGGGGTGGCAGTGAGTGTGTGTGAGTGTGTGTGTGTGTGTGTGTGTGTGCTGGGGGGTCCCATTGCACCCCAGCATGGCCCCCCCAGGCCCTGGGAGGGTGCTGGGGCTGAGACCCCCCAACCACAGCATGTGCCCCCCCCCCAGGATCCCCCCTCTCCCAGCCTGGAGCTGGTTTGGTCCTGTTTGGTGAGAGAAAAGCTCCAAGCAGGGTCCCCCGGGGGGGTGGGTGGGGGGTCCTGGGGTTGGGGGGAGAGGGGTGGGTGCCCCACCAGGGCAGGTTGGACCTGGGCGCTGGGGGTGCTGGCACCCAGGGCCCACCCAGCCCTGCCTGGACTGGGGGGTCCGGATCGGTCCTGGAGGGGGGGATCCATCCTTCCTGAGCGTGTGGGGGTCTGTGCCCCCCCCCCCCCCCCCAGCAGGACTGAGCCCCCTGCGGGCACCACCTGGGGGGGGGGGGGGGGAGATGGGGACTGCTCTGCAATAGGGAGGCACCAAAGGTGCTGCTCCAGAGCCTCCGGACCTGGGGGGGGGGGGGGGGGGAGAGAAATGGGGGTATTAAGAAGAGTTGGGGTGGGCAGGGGGTGCCCGCGGTGGGGGGGCCGGGGTCTCACCAGGCTCAGTACGGCCGGTTGGCATCTTTGGGCCTCTTGAGCTGCACCTTGAGGCGCTTCATCCCGATCTGGAAGCCGTTCATGGCCTGGATGGCGGCCTGGGCGCTCGCCGGGTTGTCAAAGCTCACGAAGCCTGCGGGGATGGGGACAGCGACGGGGACATCAGGGCTGGGGCGCTGAGGGGTGTCCCCAGCCCAGCATCCCTTATCCCTGGTGTCCCCATCTCCAGTGTCCTCACCCCAATGCTCCTATCCCATGCATTCCCATCATCATATCCCTATGTCCCCAGCGCCATGTCCCCATCCTGGTGGCCCCATTGCAGTGTCCCCATCTCCAGTGTCCTCACCCCACTGCTCCATTCCCATGAGTTCCTACCATCATATCTCTATGTCCTCAATGCCATGTCCCCATCCTGGTGTCCCTATCCCCATGGTCTCCATCCCTATGTCCTCATCCCCAGTGTCCTCACCCCAATGCTCCTATCCCATGCATTCCCATCATATCCCTATGTCCTCAACGCCATGTCCGCATCCTGGTGTCCCCATCCCCATGTCTCCATCCCTATGTCCTCATCCCCAGTGTCCTCACCCCAATGCTCCTATCCCATGCATTCCCATCATCATATCCCTATGTCCTCAACGCCATGTCCCCATCCTGGTGTCCCTATCCCCATGTCCCCATCCCTATGTCCTCATCCCCAGTGTCCTCACCCAATGCTCCTATCCCCTGTGTTCCCATCATCATATCCCTATGTCCTCAACGCCATGTCCCCATCCTGGTGTCCCCATTGCAGTGTCCCCATCCCGGTGTCCCCATCTCCAGTGTCCTCACCCCACTGCTCCTATCCCATGTGTTCCCATCATCATATCCCTATGTCCTCAACGCCATGTCCCCATCCTGGTGCCCCCATCCCCATGTCTCCATCCCTATGTCCTCATCTCCAGTGTCCTCACCCCACTGCTCCTTTTCCCATGTGTTCCCATCATCATATCCCTATGTCCTCAACGCCATGTCCCCATCCTGGTGTCCCCATTGCAGTGTCCCCATCCTGGTGTCCCCATCCGCAGTGTCCTCACCCCACTGCTCCATTCCCATGTGTTCCCATCATCATATCCCTATGTCCTCAACGCCATGTCCCCATCCTGGCGTCCCCATCCCCATGTCTCCATCCCTATGTCCCCATCCCCAGTGCCCTCACCCCAATGCTCCTATCCCATGTGTTCCCATCATCATATCCCTATGTCCCCAATACCATGTCCCCATCCTGGCGTCCCATCCCCATGTCCCCATCCCGCTGTCCCCATCCCGCGGTCCCGGTGCCCGGTGCCGGTGTCCCCACCGAAGCACTTGCTCTGGTTGGTGGCGCGGTCCACGAAGACCTTGGCGGAGATGACGTTGCCGAAGGGCAGGAACATCTGCAGGATCTCGGTGTCGGCGAACTCCTGGGGCAGGTGGTAGATGAAGATGTTACAGCCCTCGGGGCCTGCGGAGGGAGCGGCGTCACGGCGGCTGCGGACCCCCCCTGGGGCACCCCAACAGCGCCCCCCCCCCCCAGCATCCGAGGGGGGTCCCTGGGAGGGGGTTTTTGGGGTGGGGGCGGGGGGGGGGGTCCAGGCTGCTCTCACCTTCTCGCTGCTGCTGCTGCGGGGGGGGCGGGGGAGCGAGCAGGGGTCCCGGGGGGGCGAAGGCCGGGCTCACCAGCCCGTAGGCTGCTGGGTAGGCGGCTGGGGGGGGGGGCAGGACTGGTTAGCGCTGACACTGCCCCCCAGTACCCACAGTGCGCTCCCAGTGCCCCACAGTGCCCCCCAGTACCCACAGTGCCCCACAGTGCCCCCAGTACCCACAGTGCGCTCCCAGTGCCCCACAGTGCCCCCCAGTACCCACAGTGCACTCCCAGTGCCCTCCAGTGCCCCCCAGTACCCACAGTGCGCTCCCAGTGCCCTCCCAGTGCCTCCCAGTACCCACAGTGCGCTCCCAGTGCCCTCCCAGTGCCCCCCAGGACCCACAGTGCCCCCCACTACCCACAGTGCCCCCACTGCCTCCCATTACCCACAGTGCCCCCCAGTACCCACAGTGTGCTCCCAGTGCCCTCCAGTGCCCCCAGTACCCACAGAGCCTTCCCAGTGCCCCCCACTGCCCACAGTGCCCCCCACTGCCCACAGTGCCCCCACTTCCCCCCATTACCCACAGTGCCTTCCCAGTGCCCCCACAGTACCCACAGTGCCCCCACTGCCCACAGTGCCCCCCACTGCCCCCCATTACCCACAGTGCCCTCCCAGTGACCCCAGTACCCACAGTGCCCCACAGTACCCACAGTGTCCCCCAGTGCCCTCCCAGTGCCACTCAGTGCCCTTCCACTGCCCCCCAGTGCCCTCCAGTGCCTCCCGTGCCCTCCAGTACCCCCATTGCCATTCAGTGCCATTCAGTGCCCCCCGATATCCCCCAGCACCCACAGTGCCACACAACGCCCTCCCATTGCCCCCCAATACCCACCAGTGGTCCCCATTGCCCCCCAGTGGTCCACATTGCCCCCCAGTCCCCCCCAGTGCCATGCAATGCCCTCTGGTATCCCCCAGTGCCACACAAGGCCTTTCCAGCCCCCCCCCCAGTGCCATTCAGTGCCCCTCCAGTGCCCCCCAGCCCCCCCAGTGCCATGCAATGCCCCCCATTGCCCCCATTGCCCCCCAGTGCCATGCAATGCCCCCCATTGCCCCCATTGCCCCCCAGTGCCATGCAATGCCCCCCATTGCCCCCATTGCCCCCCAGTGCCATGCAATGCCCCCACTGCCCCCAGTCCCCCCCAGTGCCATGCAATGCCCTCCAATGCCCCATTGCCCCCAGTCCCCCCAGTGCCATGCAATGCCCCCATTGCCCCCCAGTCTCCCCCAGTGCCATGCAATGCCCTCCAATGCCCCCATTGCCCCCCAGTCCCCCCAGTGCCATGCAATGCCCCCAATGCCCCCATTGCCCCCATTGCCCCCCAATGCCCCCATTGCCCCCCAGTCCCCCCAGTGCCATGCAATGCCCTCCAATGCCCCCATTGCCCCCAGTCCCACCTAGTGCCATGCAATGCCCCTCATTGCCCCCCAGTGCCATGCAATGCCCCTCATTGCCCCCCAGTCCCCCAGTGCCATGCAATGCCCCCCAATGCCCCCATTGCCCCTGTTGCCCCCCAATGCCCCCATTGCCCCCCAGTCCCCCCCCAGTGCCATGCAATGCCCCCAATGCCCCCATTGCCCCCCAGTCCCCCCAGTGCCATGCAATGCCCCCAATGCCCCCATTGCCCCCCATGCCCCCATTGCCCCCGTTGCCCCACACACCTGTGTAGTGCCCCATGCCGGCGTACGCCTGCTGCAGGGGGTCTCCGGGGGCCGCGGGGCTCTGGGCTGGGGGCAGAGGCGGCGTTAGGGGGGGGTGGGGGGGTCGGGGAGGGGGGGTCGGGAGGGGGGGGTGCTGCGGGCACCTGGGAAGGGGGGGACCCCCCCGCGAACACGGCCTCGGGCGCCGGGGGCCCCGCGGGCTGCGCCGGTACCGGGCTGTAGCCGTTGACGCTGAGCGGGGCCGCGATGGCGGGGACCGGGGTGGCGGCCATGGCCGGGGGCGTGCTGGTACCTGCGGGCACAGCGCGGCCTGACCCCATCATCCTCCCGCGTGTCCCAGCCCCGGTGCCGCCGTGACCTGGTCCCATTGCCCCCATCCCATTGCCCCCATGCCCGGTGCCACCGTGACCTGGTCCCAGTGCCCCCATCCTATTGCCCCCATGCCCGGTGCCACCATGACCTGTTCCCTGCCCCCATCCCAGTGCCTCCATGCCCAGTGCCGCCGTGACCTGGTCCCAGTGCCCCCATCCCATTGCCCCCATCCCTGGTGCTGCTGTGCCCTGTTCCCATTGCCCCCATCCCAGTGCCCCCATCCCTGGTGCCACCATGACCTATTCCCATTGCCCCCATCCTATTGCCCCCATGTCCGGTGCCACCGTGACCTGTTCCCAGTGCCCCCATCCCATTGCCCCCATCCCTGGTGCTGCTGTGCCCTGTTCCCATTGCCCCCATCCCAGTGCCCCCATCCCTGGTGCCACCGTGACCTGTTCCCATTGCCCCCATCCCAGTGCCCCCATCCTATTGCCCCCATCCCTGGTGCTGCTGTGCCCTGTTTCCATTGCCCCCATCCCATTGCCCCATTCCCTGGTGCCACCGTGACCTGTTCCCATTGCCCCCATCCCAGTGCCCCCATCCCCGGTGCTACCGTGACCTGTTCCCAGTGCCCCCATCCCATTGCCCCCATCTCTGGTCCCACTGTGACCTGTACCCAGTGCCCCATCCCAGTGGCCCCATCCCATTGTCCCCGTCCCTGGTGCCACCGTGACCTGTACCCATTGCCCCCATCCCAGTGGCCCCAGCCCCGGTGCCGCCGTGACCTGTTCCCATTGCCCCCATCCCATTGCCCCCATCCCCAGTGCCACCGTGACCTGTTCCCAGTGCCCCCATCCCAGTGCCCCCATCCCTGGTGCTGCTGTGCCCTGTTCCCATTGCCCCCATCCCAGTGCCCCCATCCCTGGTGCCACCGTGACCTGTACCCAGTGCCTCCATCCCCAGTGACTCATCCCCAGTGCCCCCATCCCTGGTCCCCCCATCCCTGGTGCTGCTGCACCCTGTTCCCACTGCCCCCACCCCTGGTGCTGCTGCGCCCTGTACCCAGTGCCCCCATCCCATTGCCCCCACCCCTGGTGCCACCATCTCCTGTTCCCATTGCCCCCATCCCCGGTGCTGCCGTGCCCTGTTCCCATTGCCCCAATCCCATTGCCCCCATCCCCGGTGCTGCCGTGCCCTGTTCCCATTGTCCCCATCCCCAGTGCCACCGTGCCCCCATGCCCTACAGTGTTCCCCCATCCCTGTCCCCATTGCCCTCATCCCCATCCCTGGTGCCACTCTTATGTCCCCATCTCCAAGTGCCACCCCACCACATTCCCCACCCCTAGACATCCATGGGGGAGCCCCATGTCCCCATCCCTGGTGTCCCCCGTTCCTGGGACCCCGATGTCCTCATCCCCATCCCTGGTGTCCCCCATTCCTGGGACCCCGATGTCCTCATCCCCATCCCTCCCCTGCCCAGTGCCACCTACCTGAGGAGGGGGGCAGGGGGGTGGCGATGAGCCCGTTGGGGTTGACTGTGCCCATGTGCTGCATCTGGACGGCCATGGTGGCCATGGGGCTGAGGTAGGCCGAGTGGGCAGCCACCAGGGCCGCCTGCTGCTGCATCAGCTGCGGGGACAGCGCCTGGATTGGGGCACCAGCCACCAGGGATCCCCTGGAGCTGTGACCCCCAACACCAGCATGGAACAGCCCCATGGGTCCCGGTGCCCCATGGAGAACCATCACCCAACAACCCCATCCAGGGCCGTGGGGCCCATCACCTCCCAGTATCCATCACCCAACAACCCCATCCTCGACCATGGGGTCCATCACTTCCCAGTATCCATCACCCCAACACCCATCACCCAATGACCCCATCCAGGACCACAGGGTCCATCACCTCCCAGTATCCATCACTACAACACCCATCACCCAATAACACCATCCAGGACCACGGGGTCCATCACCTCCCAGTATCCATCATGCAACAACGCCATCCTGGACCACAGGGTCCATCACCTCCCAGTATCCATCACTACAACACTCATCACCCAATAACACCATCCAGGACCACGGGGTCCATCACCTCCCAGTATCCATCATGCAACAACGCCATCCTGGACCACAGGGTCCATCACCTCCCAGTATCCATCACCCCAACACTCATCACCCAATAACACCATTCAGGACCACGGGGTTCATCACCTCCCAGTATCCATCATGCAACAACGGCGTCCTGGACCACAGGGTCCATCACCTCGCAGTATCCATCACCCTAACACCCATCATCCAACAACCCCATCCTGGACCATGGGGTCCATCACCTCCCAGTATTCATCACCCAACACCCATCACCACAACACCCATCATCCAACGACCCCATCCTGGACCATGGAGTCCATCACCTCTCAGTATCCATCACTCCAACACCCATCACCCAACAACCCCTTCCTGGACCACAGGGTCCATCACTTCCCAGTATCCATCACTACAACACCCATCACCCAATGACCCCATCCAGGACCATAGGGTCCATCACCTCCAGTATCCATCACTCAACCATTCCGTCCTGGACCACAGGGTCCGTCACCTCCCAGTATCCATCACCCCAACACTCATCACCCAATAACACCATCCAGGACCACGGGGTTCATCACCTCCCAGTATCCATCATGCAACAATGCCGTCCTGGACCACAGGGTCCATCACCTCCCAGTATCCATCACCCAACAGCCCCATCCTGGACCATGGGGTCCATCACCTCCCAGTATCCATCACCCCAACACCCTTCAGCCAACAACACCATCCAGGACCACGGGGTCCATCACCTCCCAGTATCCATCACCCCAACACCCATCACCCAACGACCCCATCCTAGACCATGGGGTCCATCACCTCCCAGTATCCATCACTACAACACCCATCACCCAATAACACCATCCAGGACCACGGGGTCCATCACCTCCCAGTATCCATCACTACAACATCCATCAACCAATGACCCCATCCTGGACCATGGGGTCCATCACCTCGCAGTACCCATCATTCCAACACCCATCATCCAACGACCCCATCCTGGACCATGGGGTCCATCACCTCCCAGTATCCATCACTACAACACCCATCAATCAATGACCCTATCCAGGACCATGGGGTCCATCACCTCCCAGTATCCATCATTCCAACATCCATCACCCAACAACCGCATCCTGGACCAGAGGATCCATCACCTCCCGGTATCCATCACTCCAATATTCATCACCCAACGACCCCATCCAGGACCATGGGATCCATCACCTCCCAGTATCCATCACTGCAATATTCATCACCCAACAACCCCATCCTGGACGATGAGTTCCATCACCTCCCAGTATCCATCACCCCAACACCCATCACCTGGTGTCCATGTCCATGATCAGGGGCTTTACCTCCAGACACCCACCACCCCAACGGTCTCACGCTGGACCACAATGGGTCCAAAACCCCCCCCATGACCCCGTGCCCACCCTACCGCCTGCGTGTAGGCGCTGTAGGCCCCGAACTGGAGGGCGATGGGGCTGAACATGCCCAGCTGGCTGGCGACCTGCTGCATCCGCCGCAGGCCCCGCTCCTTCTCCGTGTCCGCAAACTTCACCACCAGGCTGGAGGAGGCTCCCTGCGAGGGGCCACGGTGTCAGCCGGTGCCAGCGGGGACCGGGATGGCAGCGGGGTGAGAGTGGGATGGCGATGATGGGGATAATGATGGGGATGATGGTGAGTGGTGAAGGGGATGGTGGTGGGGATGATACTGGTGAAAAGGACAATGACGGAGATGATGGTGGTGAAGGGGACAATGACGGTGAAGGGGATGGTGGTGAAGGGAACGATGGTGTTGAGGGTGAGGATGATGCTGGGGGGGACAGTGATGGGGATGATGGTGGGAACGATGGGGGGGATGATGATGGTGAAGGGGATGGTGGTGTGGGCAGTGGTGGGGCCACTGCTGGGGATGCGGCTGGGGGGCTGGGTATTGGGGGCTGGGTATTGGGTGCTGGGATGCTGAATGCTGGGTGTTGGGGTGTTGGGTGGTGGGCATTAGGTGCTGGGTACTGGGTGTTGGGTGCTGGGTATTGGGTGTTGAGTGCTGGGTAGTGGGTTTTGGGTGCTGGGTATTGGGTGTTGGGTGCTGGGTACTGGGTGCTGGGTAGTGGGTTTTGGGTGCTGGGTATTGGGTGTTGGGTGCTGGGTACTGGGTGTTGGGTGCTGGGTATTGGGTGTTGGGGTGCTGGGTGTTGGGTGCTGGGTACTGGGTGTTGGGTGCTGGGTGTTGGGTGTTGGGTGCTAGGAATTGAGGTGTTGGGTGTTGGGTATTGGGTGCTGGGTGTTGGGGTGCTGGGTATTGGGTGTTGGGTGCTGGGGTTTGGGTGCTGGTGCTGGGTGTTGGGGTGCTGGATATTGGGTGCTGGGTGCCCATCTCACCGGCAGGGTGCGGCTCCCGTGCAGCGCGGCGATGGCGGCCTGAGCCTCCGCATGGCTCTGGAACTTGACGAAGGCGCAGCCTTGGGGGGGGGGGGGGGGGGCGGGGGTCAGCACCCCCAAAGAACACCACCACACCCCCCCCATAGGGACCAAGGCATCACCACCCTGAGCCCCCATCACCCCATGGCCCCCCTTGAACCCTCTCCAGCCCCCCCCCCCCCCCCCTCCCCCGGATCCCCTCCTCCACACCCCCCAGGGCCCCCTGAGCCCCCCCCCAGCCCTGGGGTGCCCCCCACCTTTGCTGGTGCCGTCGGGGCCGCGCAGCACCGTGCACTCGTCGATGGTGCCGAAGGGCTCAAACATCTTGCGCACGTCCTCGTCCGCCTGCTGCTTGCTCAGCATCCCCACGAAGAGCTTGCGGTCCTCTGCGGGGATGGGGGGGGGGGGGTGGCACGGGGACACCCCCAAACACACACCCCCGACGGACATCCCCCCCCCCCCCGCCCTGGGGACACGGGGATGGGCTGGGACGCCAGGGAATGGGGGTACCTCACCAAGGCCATGGATGGGGACACCCCTTTGGTGACAGACAGACCCTGGGATGGGGACAGGGATGGGGACACCCCCGTGGCGATAGGGATGAATGGGGTGGGGGTCACGGAGGGGTGTCCATGGGGAGGTGCTGGGGGGTGGGGGTGCGGGGTTTGGGGGGGGCGGTACCTCCTCGGCTCTCACTGTCCGCCGGCTTCACCTGGATGGGCCGGTTCATCTGGGGGGGCAGAGTTAGCAGATGGGGGACCCCGCCCCCGGAACCCCAAACCCCCTGCGGGGGGGTCCCCGGGGTCCGGCCGGACACCCCCACAGGCGGGAGGTGCACGGAGCCACCCCCCCCCCGCACCCCAAAGATGCTCCCGTCGCTATGGCAACCCGGGCCCTGCATCCCGTTGCCCAGCAACAGCTGCCGCGGCGACCGCCATGGGGGGGGCCTGAGGGGCCCAAATGATGCGCTAATGAGCACCCGACTCCCCCCCCCCACCTCTAATTAGGGGGGGATGAACCCACCCCCCACCCCCCCCCCCCCAGCCCCGTAACCCCAGGAGACCGGGGGGTTGGGGGGGGGCGCAGATGCCCGGTAACCATGGCAACGGCAGAATATGCTCCATGGCAACCGCCCACTCATCCCCAATTTACCCATCCCCGTTGCCCGGCAACGCCGCTGACATCATCAGCGCTCGCTATAAACAATGACGGGGATGGGGGGGGGGGGGGGGGCCGAAAGGGGGGGAATGGAGATTGGGGGGGGAGGGGAGGGACCCCCCCCACGACCTGCCATGACCTCGCCCCCTCCCCCCCCCCCCCCGGGATGGGGCCGGGATTTGGGGGTGGGGGGCAGGATGAGGGGGGGTTGATGGGGAGGGCGGATATAGAGGGATGATGGGGGGGGAAATATGGGGAGAAGGAATAAGGGGTGGAACATGGGGGGGGGCGATTTCATCCCCGCTGACCCCAGGTGGCCCCTTTCCCCCTCCGAAAGCGAAGGTGGCTCCAAACACCCCCCCCCACTGCAGATGGTGCTGGAAATGCCCCCCCCGGAGCTGGGGGGGGGGGGGGCATTAATCCCCCTTAATCTCCCCTGGGCCGGGATCAGCCCCGAGCGGGCCGCGGGGGCCGTGCACACACAAACGGGGGGGGGGGGGGCAGCAGGCACCCAACACCCAAATTACCCCGGGATCCCCCCAGCATCACCCCCCCACCCCGCGGCCTGGGGGTGTAGGGGGGTCGTACTCGCACCTCTCAGCCCCATGCGGTGGGGGGGGAAGTTGTTTGGGGCTGCCCCTAATCCCCCCATGGTGTTGTGTGTCCCCCCCCAGCAAATCCCTCCCCCCCCCCCCCCCCCCCGGGATTTACAGCTCCCAAATCCCTGGATTATCCCAGCGAAGCCAAATCCCCCCCCGGGGGCTGGCGGGGCACACACGGCCCAGAGGGGGGGCTTGGATCCCCTCCTGTTCCATGCACAGGAAGCCCCACACTGCCCCATAGCTGGGACACCCCCCCCCGCCATGAGGCCTCTGCCACCCATTCGTTGGGACTGTTGGGACCCCCCCCAGCACCCAGCTGCAATGGAGGGTGGGGGGCACCCAGACACCCAGGGTATCCCCCCCCCGGCTTTGTTATCTCAGCTGGCCTGGTGCCCCCTTAGTGCTAGGCCTTGGTTAGCGCCCGCCCCTGTTTGTACCCCCCCCCCCGGCTGATGTTTGGGGGTGCCACCCCCTTCAAAGGTGGGGTCCCAGGTGCTCCCCAGGATGGGGAGGCCCTGGGGGGGGGGGGGGGTGCCACAGGGTAGGGGGGTCCCGGTATCCCAGGGGTATTCCCGGTGTCCTGGGGGGGTTCCCGTGTCCCCACTCACCCCCGGGAGGGTTTTCTGCTCGTGCAGAGCACTCTGCGCCTTCAGGGCCGACTCTCGGGCACAGTAGGTCAGGAAAGCGCATCCTGGGGGGGGGGGGGGAAAATGGGGTAGGGGCGATGGAGGTGGTGCGGGACCCCCACACCGAGGTCCCCCAGAGCATCCACAACCCCCCCATCCACAGCATCCACAACACCCATTTGGAGGCCAGACACCCCAAAACCCCGTTTCTGCTGCCTGGGTGCCCATCACCCAGCCTCAGGCCTGCGCTGGCCTCGGCCGCCCCACGCCTGTTGTAGGTGCTGGGGTTTGGGGGAGGGGGGGGCGTCCCCCGGTGGGGAGCACAGAGCCCCCAGCACCCCGTGGCTGTGGCACCATCACTGCCACATCCCCCCCCCCCCCATCACCCATCACCGCAACCACCCACCCTGCGCCGGCACCGCTGCTCCCAACACCCCCCAGCACCCACACAACACCCCCAGAGCACCCACGCAACACCCGGCCGCAACCCCTCCGCCCAACACCCGCACGGCTTCTGCTGCCACAACAGCCCCGGCACCCACAGCCACGCGAATGCCACGTACACCCTGATACACCCGACAGCCCCGTACACCCTGACACCCAGCTCAGGTGTTCCCCGGGCCTGCGGCTGTACTTGGGGCTGTACCCTGGGCCCGCGGCTGTAGGATGAGCTGAGGGTGATGCTCAGGGCCTCCTGAGCGTGTATGTGGGGCTGTGCTGGGGTACCGGGGGCTGGACGTGGGGCTGTAATTGGGCTGTTCCCAATGCTGGGGCTCTTCCTGGTACTGCAGGCTCGATGTGGAGCTGTTCCTGGTGCTGGGGGCTGTTCCCGGCTCTATGTGGGGCTGTAGGTTGAGCTGTTGCAGCTCCCAGCTGCCATATGTGGGGCTGTTCCTAACGCTGGGGGGCCGTTGCCGGTACGGGGAGCTGTTCCCGACGCTGTGTCCGGTACCAGGAGCCGTTCTCGGTACCGAGGGCCGTACGTGAGGCTGTTCCCGGTGCCATTCCCGGGGCCTGTACCCAGCTCTCCATTACCCAGGGCCGCGCCGATGCTCGGCGCCGGTGTTGCCCGTTCCCAGTCCCCGTTCCCGGTTCCCGGTACCTTTGTGCATCCCGGTGTATGGTGTACTTGTCCTTGATGACGGTCAGCTCGTAGATCTTGCCGAACTGCTCGAAGATCGGTTTCAGGTCCTTCTCCTCCAGGTGCCGCGGGATCTGCCCCACGAAGAGTTTGATGGCGTCGGGCTCCTTCATGGGGGCCACCGGGGGGGGGCCGGGCCCCGGGGCGCTCGCTGCGGCTCCCGGGATCGCTCCCGCCGGTGCCCGGTCGCGGCGCACACAAAGGGACGAGGCGGCCCCGGGGCTCGGCTCGGCGCCGGGGACGGGGCGCGGCGGGGCGGGGGCAGCGCTGCCCGGGGGGCGGGTCCCGGCGGGTCCCGGCGGAGCCTCCCGGGCGGCGGCACCGAGCCCGGGAGCAGGGAAACGGGGCGGGGGGGGGGGGAAGGGGGGGAACAGCGCCCGCCCCGCCGGCACCACCGGGGGATGCTCGGTACCGGCGAGGGGGGCGGTCAGCGCCCGGCACGGCCCATGGCGGCCCCGGCGGGTCCCGGCCCCGCTCCCGCCGCTTTTCTTCCCGTCGGAGCCGCACCGGGACCCGTTACCGGGAAACGGAACCGGCCACGGGGAGCTGCGGGATCGAGCACCGGGATCAGCTACCGGGAACGGACCCCAGCGACCGGGACCCGCTGCTGGGCACCGGGAACGGGCACCGGCACCGCCTCGCCCCGGGGCTCGGCTGGGGCTGGGTGGAGGTTGGGGGGGGGGGTGGGGGGTGCGTGCGCGGAGCTGCGCGTGCGTGCTCGTGCCCGCCGTGCGCGCACACGCGTGTAGGGGGCGTGGCCTGGCGTGGCCCCGCCCACGGCGCTGTCCTCGGTGCTGAGCGCAAACCCTCGCGGTCCCCCACACCCCCCGGTCCTCCCGTTGCCATAGCGACGGGCCGCTCCGCCAAGATGGCGCCGCCGTTGCCGCCGCCGCCGCGGCCGCACCAGGTACGGGAGGGGGCTGAGGGGGGAGCGGAGGGGATCCGGGGGTCCCGTCCGGGGCACCCCCTTCCTGACCGCCTCCCCCGGCAGCCCTCGCTCCGCCTGAGCGCAGAGCGGTACCTGCGGGCACACCCGGCGGTGGCGCTGCTGCTGAGGGGCTTCCTCAGGTGAGACACGGCCCCGATCCCCCCCCCCCCCCGCCCCAACCATGAACTGCACCAGAACACCGGGATCAGCGTGGAAAAATCCCAATCGTTACCCGATAAAAGCGCTTTCCATGTGAGAAACACCACCAAAACGGACCCTTTTCCCCCCAAAACCCATTGTGACACCACACCCCCCCCCCCCGCCTTCCCCCTGCAGGGAGCTGCTGCTCCAGCGGCCGGATGATGTCTGGGGTTTGCTGCAGGTGAGGGGGGCACAGGGGGTCCCGGGGAACCCCCATGGGCTGAGGGGGACCCCACAGTGTTGGAAAAGCAGCGAGGGGGTCCCCACAGTGGTGGGATGGTCCCCATGGGGCAAGGGGGGGTGCCCCACAATAGTGGGGAGCAGTAGAAGGGGTCCCCATGGGATAAGGGGCCACTCACCCCCTGCCCCCCCCCCCCAGTGTATTTCACGCATCCGGAGCTGCCAGGACGGATCCAGGAGGAGCTGGGGAGGGCCCGGGGGGCAGCACCCTGAGCCCCCCCACCCCAGCTCAGAGCTGTTCTTCCCCTGCGTGCCGCCAGTCGTGCCTGGTGCTGTGCCAGCCAGTGCTTGTAGCGCTTGGTCTTGGGCCGCAGGAACTGCACCACCGACATCGGCACCCGCACCGTGTCCAGCCCGTTCACCTGCGGCACCGCAACGGGACTGGGGTCACGGCACAGGCACCGCCAGGAGCGGGGACCACCGGTTGTGCCCCCACTCCCAGTTGCAATTCCTTTCTCCTCCCCTTTCCTGTGGCCATGGGAGCTCCATCCCAAAAGCACAGCGGGGGCCGGTTGGTGGGAAGCAGGAGGGAAACACCGGGGACGAGCAGGACTGAAGTGGGATGGAAGAGGATTGGAACCAGGCTGCCCTCGCCCTTCCCTTCCCCACACCCAGAAGTGAAGCTGGAGACTGGACCCTGGCACCTAGCAGTGATGACCTGGATTTGGAGCCATTGGGGTAATTCAGAGCGGTCTCTGCTTCCTGGGGGACCAGGAAAGATGGAAACAAATGGCACCATGCAGGAGGCATGTTTCCATGTAGGGTGTGGGGACTGGGGTGTCTTCTCTGGTTTTGGGGTGTTTTTAACACAGTCATTCTCTTCCTCACACCTGAGGCTCTGGGCTCCTTGGATTCAGGTGGGAGCACTGGCATGGGGAGGGGTTGTGGGATGCTGAGGGGCCCAAAAGGGGGGTGTGGGGCTGAGCTGGGAACAGGATGGGGGGACACACAGAGAGGACCAGCTCACCGTCACGTCGCACCAGTACTCCGCCCCACCGGGTGATGGGCTCCTCCGGCAGCTTCAGCGCATGGGGTGGCACGAAAACCCGCAGCTGAGGAGGAAGAGGAGACTCTGGGGAGCAGCCGGAGCATGGCGGAACCCTTCCCGGACCCCACAACCGACTCACCCCGGGAGCTGCCAGCACGGAGCCAGCTCAGGACAGGGGTGCCAAGAAGCACTCACGTTTTTGAGGAAGTGCCGAGCCACGATCTCGTTGTTGAGCTCCCACTTGACGTTGTTCTTCATGCCCACCTCGAGGCGGCAGCTCTTGAGGAACTGATGGTCTGTCAGAGCAGAGGGAAGGGGTCGTGGGGCAGGGAGGAAGGGGGTCGGGGGGCAGGAGGAAGGGCTCAGAGCAGCCGGTGCCGCCGCACTCACCCTCTCCCCGCTCTGGGTTTGCTGCACTTCCATCTTCCCTTCCTGGTGCAGCTGCGAGGGGAAAGGGAGGACTGAGGATGCCGCCGGCACAGACCCGGTTCTCCCAGCACCGTGAAGCCTCCCACCAGGTCCCGGTGCCACCGAACCTTCTCCTCCCTCAAACATCTTCCTGTTCTCCGGCGACGCGTACACGGCCAGTCCCTGCGGCAGCAGCTTGTTCCGACCCACGTGCTTCTTCACGCTGACCAGGTCCCCCCGCCTGCCCAGGCCTGCAGGACAGGGGGTGGGATGGAGCGGGGCTCCCCCCCCCCAACCCCTCGGGTCCACGTAAACGGAGTTTACAATAAAACACCCGAGTCAAAAGGCCCCAAAACCGCTCCAAACCACGGCGCATCCCAAGGACGAACCCCGCCGCCACGGCACGGTGCGAACGGGGCCTCCAGGAGAACGGGCTCAAGGGGGGTCGGGCCGTACCCTCCACGGCGCGGGTGAGGATGAGCTCCAGCTCGCCCTTGGGCAGGTGCTTGGTGTCCTCCACCAGCCGGTACACGCGGTGCCGCCGCAGGTTCGCGCGGGGCGGCCTCCCCTCCTTGCTCAGCGGGACCTGCCACCAGCGCTCCACCACCACCGTGCCCTGCACGGGGCGGGCCGTGAGCACTGCGGCTGCGGGGCCCGCTCCGCCCCCGCTCCCGGTGCCGCACTCACCCGGCCGTGGCTCAGGCTCAGGGCCCGGCTCGCCGCCCGCACCAAGAGCCCGCAGGCTCCCGCCGCTCCCGGTGCCAACATGGCTGCGCCCGTCCCGCTCCCAGCGCAGACGAAAGACCCCGCGGGCGTTGCGCGCCTGCGCAGCGGTCGCCGCCGCTGCTCAAGGACCCCACCGGGGGTGCCCGGTGTGCGCCTGATCCCGGTGCGCTCACACACACACCCCCCCTCCGGTACCGGTTGAACCCCGCGCAGTGCCCAGAGGAGGCGGCCGGGTGCTGCAGAACATTCCGGTTTATTGAACGGGTGGTGATGCACCCCCCCCCCCCGCGCCAAGAACCGTCCAACAGGGACCAGGGGGAACGGGACCGGTAACGGCTGTGCCAGCACAGCGGCACCGGGAGCTCTCAGCATCACGCTGACATCTCCTGCGCAGGGCAGGGGGGACAGGAGCAGGTTTGGGCTCACCGGGCTCCGCAGCTCCGCTGGCGCTCACCGGTGGCACAGGGGCTTCCTGCTGTGCATCCTCCTCCTCAGCATGGCAGAGCTGGGGCAAGGCATGGCCCAACCGCACCAGTTCGGTGCCCACATCCAGGCTCTGCACCGAGAGAAGCGGTGGCTCAGGGCGGGCGGGGGGGGGCCGGGCAGAGCGGGACAGGGCCTGGGGCTCACCACACCGCCGTGCATGGCGAAGAGCTGGACACGGGGCCGCGGGCACGGCGCTGTTGGGCCATAGCTGGCGATGCGGGCGAGCAGCGGCTCCCACATGGCGCAGTGCGAGAGCTCTGCGAAGGCGTCGAGTGCCGCCGGCTCCCAATCGGCACCTGCGGGCAGGCGAGGCCCTGTGGCTCAGCACCGGGACACACCGGGCCCCCTTGTACCCTGATCCCCACTCACCAGCGGGCACAACACCGGCCAGGCTGCACTCCACAGCCTGGAAGGGCAGGCTCAGGAAGTCGCTCCTGGCAAGAGGGAAACGCTGCATGAGGGTGGCACGTGGCAATCACAGCACCAGAGCCGGCACTGGCACACAGCACTCACCGCAGGGCGCACAGCGCCTGGCGTGGGGCCTCACCGCTGTCCCCAAAGTCGGCGTAGTGCAGGCCCAGGTTGCCGTTGTCCCGCGGGCCCAGCACGCGTGCGCGGTACCAGTTGCCGTCAGCGGCGAAGGGAGCGGCCACGGATGTCACCGGGCTGCACGTCGGAGAGCAGTGCCTGTGGGGACACAGGAACGGTGGCAGGACACGGGGGCAGCGATGGGAGGTGTGGAGGGACAAGGCGTGGGGCCTCACCGTGGTGCTGTGGTGCTGGTAGTACTGGCGCATCTCAGCCATCAGCTTGTCCAGCTGCAGACTGCGCTGCCCCACCAGCTGCATCCAGAACCGGTCGGGGCTTTCGGCAGCTGAGACGTAAACCTCAAGGTGCTCATCGGCATTGAAGGCAAAGTCAGGGCTGGGAACTGCAGAAGCGGTGCAAGGGAGCACCCTGGGGGGTGACCCCGGCAGCAGCACATGGGGACGAACCCCATTGGCATGATTCATGCTTCTCTTCCCTCAAATTTGGGCATGGGGACACTGGGCTCCTCCAGCTCCTCACTTTCAGCCTCCTGCTCCACCACCTCCTCAGAGGACATCAAGCTGAGCAACTCTTCACCCCAGGGCAAGCCCTTGTGCTCCTCCTCGTGCTCCGGTGCCCCATTGGGCAGCGGCTCCGGCTCCCGGCGGCTGCCCAGCGGTGCCTTGCGCTGGCATCGAGCCACCGCCGCCTGCGCCAGCTCTGTCCGGAGCACATTGTCTTCCATCAGCTTCTCCAGGATGAGTTTCTAATGGGCAAAGAGGAGAGGTTGGCGTTCAGGGAGGGCGGAGTTCGGTGCTGCCTGACTCCTCTGTGCTCCTGCTCACCTTAGCGGCCTCCACCTCCTTCCTCGTCCCCGAGAGCTGGATGCCCCTCATGGGGCAGAGGCTGGCGCTGGCCTCGCTCTCACACAGCACCCGCGCCCCCGAGCTGCGGCAGATGCCCCGCACTGTCTCCCCTCCGCGTCCTGCAGGACACAGAGCCCCAGGGACGCTGAAGCAGACGGGGCTCAACACAGGAGCCAATGCTCCCGACAGCACTGAGAGCACGGGGGGCAGCAGTACCGATAATCCTGCCGACGGCTCTCCGCGGCCACGCAGAGCCGCTCCGCCACCGGCGCGCTCTCCGCCACGATCTGGTGAACGGCGGCTTTCACCCGGCACACTTGGACCTGCGAGCCCGAGATGAGCAGCGCCGCCTCCCTCGCCTTCCTCCTCTCCCTCCACTTCGATGCGAGCTCCCGTCTCTTGCCGCAGCTGTGGGGTGTGTGTGTGTCCGTCCCCAACCCCGGCTGCCGTTCACTGGTGCTCGCAGTGAGCTGGGGCTGCCCCGGCTGCCCCTGGCACCACGCACCTTCCGGATGGTGGCTCCCTTCCGGCCAATGATGGCCTTGAGGGCGGCGCGGGGCACCCGCATCTCCACTTCCAGCTCCTCGTCCCCCACGAAGGTCTCACGCTGCTCTGCGGGTACCAACGGCACAAGGGAAGGTGAAGCAGCTCCCCCAGAGCGGCTCTGAGCCTCCCACGTGCTGCGGCACCCACCTCGGCTCTCCCGGTACCGGCGGTACAGGATGTAGAGCACGGCGGTGCCGGCCGGGAGCCCCAGCAGCACAGCGACCTTCTGCAGTGGCTGCAGGCTGCTCCAGTAGCCCCGCGCCGTCGCCATCCCCCTGCGGGGAGCAGAGGCTCTGCTGGGCCGCAGCCGGGGCAGCTCCCACCCGGCTCCTGGGGCGGCCTCAGGGCACCTGCGGAGCGGGGTCGCGCCGATGCGGCCGCCACTTCGGCTCCGGCCTCGGCTCAAGCTCTGGTCTCGGTCCCGATCCCGGTCCCGGTCCCGGTCCCGGCTTCTGCCTCGGTCCCGGCTTCGGCTTCGGCCCCGGCCCCGGCCCCGGCGCTCCTCGCACCGCCACCGCTGCCGCCGCCTCACGCGCCCGGCCACCGCCAGCCCCGCCCCCTCCCGCGGCTGCCCAATCACCGCCCAGCTCCTCCCCCGCCCTACCAATCGCTGCCGTAGAGAGGCGGTGACCAATCCGCGGGCGGGCTCCCACACGAGAGGGCGGGAAGAGAGGGGCGAAGGGGCGGGGCACAGCACCGGCCTGGGAATAAAGCAGCCAATCCGCTCCGCGCGGCAGCCCGCTGGAGCCAATCAGCGAGCGAGTAGCAGACCCACCCGAGTGACGGCCGGGTCTGTCCCGTCCCACAATGCCCCACGCGGGGTGGACGTGGGGTCCCGGTGCCCACCCTCCAGCGCCGCCGTACGGACACACCGGGCACGTAAACCCCGTTATAAAGCCCTTTATTTCCCCGGTACATCTCCCCATGGCAGCACCACGGGTGTGGGCCCGGTGCGGTGCCGGCTCCCGGTGCGGTGCCGGGGTTCATCGTGCGGCACCGGTGGCTTCACCCTCCCCGGCGAAGAGCTCCCGGTAGAGCGGGGGGAAGGCGTCGAGCAGCGCCGGGGGATGGCGGCGGCGCAGGGCCTGGAGCTGCTCCATGTGCTGCGAGCACAGCGCCCGCAGGCGGCCCTGCGGCGGCAGCTGCATGCGATGGGACACGTGACACGTGTGTTCTCACATGTGCGTGTTCTCATGTGCATGCAGGGAGCACGTGTGTTCTCATGTGCAGACAGGGAACAGGCGTGTTCTCAAATGTGCACGCAGGGAGCACACGTGTTCTCACGTGTGCACACAGGGAACACGTGTGTTCTCATGTGTGCGCAGATAACATGCATGTTCTCATGTGCGTGCAGGGAACAAGTGTGTTCTCACACGTGTGTGCAGGCAACACACATATTCTCACGTGTGCGCACAGGGAACACGTGTGTTCTCATGTGTGCGCAGATAACAGGCATGTTCTCATGTGCGTGCAGGGAACATGCATCTTCTCACATGTGCGTGCAGGGAACACGCGTGTTCTCACAAATGCGCGCAGGGCACATGCATGTTATGTGCAAACAGGGAGCACGCGTGTTCTCAAACGTGCATGCAGGGAACACACGTGTTCTCACGTGTGCGCACAGGGGACACGCGTGTTCTCATGTGCGTGCAGGGAGCACGCGTGTTCTCACACTTGTGCACAGGGAGCATGCGTGTTCTCACATGCACGTAGGGAGCACGCGTGTTCTCAAACGTGCACGCATTGAGCATGCGTGTTCTCATGTGCGTGCAGGGAACACACGTGTTCTCACGTGTGCACACAGGGAACACGCATGTTCTCACACGTGCATGCAGGGAACACATGTGTTCTCACAGGTGCGCACAGGGGACAAGCATGTTCTCACGTGTTCACTCGTGTCACCCCACTCTCAGCCCCATTTCCCCCCCTCCCCTGCCCCATGGCTCACCCTGTCCAGGAGCCCCTCGCGCCGCGTCCGGCGCAGCAGCAGCTCGAAGGCAAGTTCCAGGCGGCGCCGCAGCCGCGACACCTTCACCGGCTCCTGCAGCCATGGGCGGCCTGGGATGGCCCCCGAGGGGTTGGTGAGGAGGGGGGGACAGGGATGGGCTGGGATTGGGATGATGGGATGGGAAGGGGTTGGCATGGGGTGGGATAGGATGAGGACAGGGATGGGGACAAGGACACAATGAGGTTGGGACAGGGTGGGACGGGATGAGGACCGGAATGGGGACAGTGATGGATACAAGGATGGGATAAGACTGGCACGGGGAAAAGGATTGGGACAGGGTTGGGATGGGTTCAGGGATGCAGATGGTGGTGGGATTGACTGAGGGGCAGGGTGGTATAGGATCGGTACAGGACAGGAACAGGGATGGGGACCAGGACAGGATGAGATGGAGATGGGACCATGGCAGGATGGGACACGGATGGAGATGGAGCGAGGGGACAGCAGGGACACCCCAGGACACCCAGCACCAGTTTAGGGACAACCAAGCTGGGTTCCCGTTGGGTTGGGTTGGGTTGGGGGGAAACTGAGGCACGGGAGGGTCGGGGGGGGGGGTCCTCACTGGCGTTGACGAGGACGAGGGCGCTGAGGAAGGCCACCTCGGGCTCCGAGCACTGCAGAGCACAGAGGTTCTGG